CAGCCGTCACGGCAGTGTTCGTATTGAAATTACTTCCGAGTAATAGCATAGTTTCATGACTTAGAAAAGTAGTTATAAAAACATGACTACACGTATTGAGTTGCGAACGAAAAGATTAATTTTCTAACTAATTGACGAGAAAAAGAATAGTGAGTCAAGGAGCACTGCCGATATGAGTCTAATGCTTCCTGACACTTCATGGATCATTAATTTTGTATGTCTCTATATTATATTTGTTGGCAGCTACAACATCTATTTAAAGCCGTGAGATGCGAAACTATTACGTTGTAGTTGTTTAGCTTTTAAAGGTAGACCTTATCAAGCAACCATGGCCTGGAGTCTAGTTGCCTGGTATATCTAGAAGTTTGTTTGGGAACAACAGCGAAATAACAATTCGTTAAATTTGTCAAGTCAAGATATAATTTATTGAGATATATTAATAAAGATGAGCAAATATATAAATATATTGAATTTTTTAAATTTGTTTTATAATATTTACTATTGTTTTTTTATTATTAATTGTTAACAAAAAAGAAAACCAAAAAAAATAAGAAAAATAGAAGAAAATAGTAGAGATAGGGATAATAAGAAAAAAAAATTCAAGAAAGAAAAGAAACAATAATGAGATAATAAGTTTATTTTAACGCTAGGTCTTTCGAATTTATTCGTTATCAAGCGAGTAAATATGAAGTAAATCAATACGATGCACCATTCTTTATATACTCGATCCAATTGATCCATTCATTTATTTCGTTTAATTGACTTAATCAATCAGACAACTCATGATAATTGATAACTTGTTCATCAGCGGACGGTACACGTATATCAATTAGTGACAATTTGGGGGTCAGTCGATTGAATATGATCTTCTCTATTGTCAATAATGATTGTAGATATATATATATATATATATAGTTCAATGATAATATCACCATTGCAAAGTTCAACACCAGAACAACAAATAATAAAATCATCATCGGTCATACCAAAAAAACGGTAGAACAACAACAACCATAAATAAGTAAAACTAACCCATATAAAGAAATATCTGAGTCTCCATTAAAAGAGATGATAGAAAGAACTGATAAATTCTTACGAAACTTAGTTTCAGATAAAAAAATGCCACAATATATAATGGAAAGATTACAACCATCTCAGTCTGAATCAGAACTACCACACTTATATTATAATCCTAAAGATCACAAAATAGGAGAACCTTTAAGGCCAATTGTAAGTGAAATAAAATCCCTGTTGGCAAAATTGTCTAGTTTCTTGGGCAAAATCATATGTCCACTGTTCGATAAACATACTCACTATGCACTTTCTAATTTGATAACATTTTTGAAACATTTAAAAAAATTTAAAACAACAACAGAAACAAATCTATACACGTTCGATATCACAGATTTGCATACAATGATTCCGCAAAAAGAAGCGGTATTATCTATATGTGAATTTTTAGGAAGACATGGATACCAAAAAATTCATGGTCTATCAATAAATACGATAAAAACTATGTTCTTACATGTATTAGAGAATTCATATTTTGTACTACAACTACCAGGAATGAAACCAAAATTTTATCAACAAATTCGAGGAGGAGCAATGGGTTCAGCCTGCACTCAAGTGCTTGCTGGTGTCTATGTGAAAAAAAATGGGAGAGTAAATTTGTAGAGCAACAAAAACAACAAGAACAACTATATTTCAGATTTAGAGATGATGTGTTCTTCACCACTACACTACCATCTCAACAAATAGAAAGAAATCTAGCAGAATTGAATGAGAAAGATCATAATATAAAGATAACATGGGAAAGTGGTAGGACGATAGAATACTTAGATGTAACAGTCAATATAGAAATTCCAAATTTCAGAACGACTGTATTCAGAAAACTAGCAGCTCAACCATACGTATTGCCATTTCACTCTTCACATCCGCAGCATGTAACGAGGAACATACCATACATGGCGGCACATAGAGCCACGCGTATATGTTCTCACCCTGAAGACCTAAAAATAGAGCTTACCAAAATGAGAATCATGCTTTTATTGAACAAATACCCCACAAAATTTATTGACAAACAGGCAGGAAAATTTTTTCGAGATACAACAGGTACGCAAACCACAGATTTACTTTTAGGCAAAGATCACTTGAAATATAGAGAATCAATTTTAGATCCCACGTGGAATAATAAAGAAAAAAGAAAAAAAGATTTTGAGAAAGACGTTCTCCATCTTTCATATACTCCATCCATATCAAACTTCGGGTCGCGATTCCACCAGCTATGGGAAGAGATATTCGAAGGAACACCTCTCGACGACATACCAGTCATGTACGCAAACAGACTTACCGACAGTCTAAGATACCTTCTCGTGTAAAAACGACCCACTAGAGAAACGATAAACCTCCTACCAACAACCTCTGAAATATAAATAATAACCCAGGTCCAAGTAACCGGCCCGGGAAGCGGCCGGCTACCTCGCATTTCCGCGATTTCACGGAAGCAGTATTCCGAACCGGGAAATCTTCGTATTTTTCCTGTAAGTTCCGCCAAGTTCCTGTTGGTTCTCGTCGGAAATCATCGGAAATCACCGAGAAAATCCGGAGATATTCGTCTCGGAATACTGCTTTCAGGGTCCGGTGATATCAGGCGTTTTCCTGCACGTTCCGGTGCGTTTCCTGCATGTTCTTGGCCGGTTCCAATTAAATCCACTCATTTCCGGAGGTCGGAATCATCGTCCTGGGTTATTATCTCTATTTTTTCTATTTTTCTTCTTTTTTAAAGCAAGAGATATATACGTATTATCATTGTATATGCTCATCGTATACAGTCATCGTTATTCATCATATTATTTTGGATACAGTCGTGTACGATCGTGGGTAGTTAACATGGGTACTTAGAGAAAAACACCTGTATGATTATTTTTTTGCCAGCCGTCACGGCAGTGTTCGTATTGAAATTACTTCCGAGTAATAGCATAGTTTCATGACTTAGAAAAGTAGTTATAAAAACATGACTACACGTATTGAGTTGCGAACGAAAAGATTAATTAGCTTATTAATTGACGAGAAAAGGAATAGTGAGCCAAGGAGCACTGCCGATATGAATCTAATGCTTCCTGACACTTCACGGCTCATTAATTTTGTTTGTCTCTATAGTATATTTGTTGGAAGCTACAGCATCTATTTAAAGACGTGAGATGCGAAACTATTACACTGTAGTTGTTTAGCTTTTAAAGGTAGACCTTATCTGCCTACCATGGTCACGAGTCTAGTTGCCTGGTATGTCCAGAAGTTTGTTTGGGAACAACAGCGAAATAATTCACGTTCCGTGAGAACGTGAATTTCCCAACTTATTCATCAATAGATCAAAGTGCCGTGCAATAAGTACTGATCATTGGACATGTGCTCAAACTAGCGACAGCCTCAGAGTCAAATAATCATGATACCTAACTAGTCACCCTGATAAGTGAGTCTTTTTCTTGGAAGCATTTACTCAATTCAACTGGCCTAACCAGTTCCATTTCTCATGCATTAATACAGTTGTTGCAATTAATTTTTTAGATTGATCAACCCTCTGTTCGATCATTACACTGTTATACATCAGCAACAGTATGACATGTTCAATTCTGCGCATCCTGACCAAGAATTTAATAAATTCTAATCGTAAGACATAACATAAACAGGATCACAATGTTCAAGTTGAATGTTCTGCTACTTTTATATTTTACTGAAACAGTTGATACGATATAGCAATTCGTGTTTATTTAGAAAGACTAATTCGATGCTGTGGGTGGCAAAGGGGAAAAGCGTACTTTTATATTGTTTACGAAATTTCGTAAGATTTTTACCGGTAAACTTTTCTTAGCTACTTTTTCAAGTGCCCTTTTTTGAATTTTGTTCAAATATGTTTTCGTTTATTTCAAACTTGAAAATGGTTGACTAGTTTTTAATGAAAATATGCAAGCAATCTATTGTGTCATCTATATTATGAACAATGATGATATCAACAGGGATCAAGTTAAACTAAGAATTCGGGTAATGATTCAACTCATCATCGACTGCAACATGTAAAACAAATAAGCAAATTTTCAAATATTACTCAATCAATAATGCTGACATCTCTCATAATCTCTCTGGTTAAATCTTTGAAGTGTCAATTCAGAGACGAAACTCAGAGCTAGAAACACCACACCATATCATATAATATTCCTCATGAAACAGAATTTATTTAGCAGCGTCAATTATGCGTGGCTTTTCGTTTCAGATAAAGACAAAACAGATCCAACTCTCTTCTTGAAAAATAAAAACGCCGTGGTCAATTTAGTGTAGCAGGTAATTAAGGGCTATTCGTTTAGCGACCAAGTTACACAACATGATGCAACAGGAGAATACTGAAGCAATCGCTGTTCAGCAGATGGACGAGTCAGAGTTGACTGCAACAGATAGATCAGTAACCATTGACAAAGCAAATCGTTTCAGGTATGTTTTTTTTATTGACCCTCGCATATAACTGATTGACGTTACTGTTTTAGTTCGCGAATAGCTCCAATTGTTGGTCTTTGTTGCCTAGGTTTTGTCTTATTTGTGATTGTTTCAATTATTGTATTGTCGCTATTGCCGGTTTACCTAACTTCACGCGATGTTACTGTTGCGACGAAGTCGGAAACTTACACTTTTGATTTGCCGTTAAGTGATGGAGTAACACTTAGTGTTGGTGAAAATAATGCTGAGCAAAGAGCAGTTTTACAGACTGCGGTAAACATCATTTATTATGCTTCATTATCATCAAAAATTTTTACTATATAGTTACAAAATCAATTGGATAGTGATTCCACAACTAAAAGCAGCAAAATTACTGTCGTCAGGGCCACTGGGATTGCCAGTGCTAAACGAGTAACTAAACATGTTTGATATAGCTTACAATGTATTGAATGATGATTGAAGCGAATAAATCTTATTTATCTCATGACGTTTAGTGGATAATTATCCAATTCTTTAAGCTTCAAATTTCGTACGAGAGGAGGGTGATAAAAAGAAATTAACTTAGAGTTTCCTCTTACAAAATCAAGGAAGTATCACTTGAAAATGTTATAATCTAAATAGAGCAAGTACTTTTCTTGTTCCGAAATGGACATTACGCAATTAGTCCTATTTTTTGATTATCTTTCTGCCACCACATAGAGATGAACGAGAGTACTGACGTGAAAAACAGAATAATATTCTTCGTCCATTAAGAGCTCTAAGGTAAAAATATTTCTTTTTATGGTAATGTCAGGTATTTGAACTGAAATAATTGAAAAATTCAACGTTATAGCATCACTTTTAGAGTTTCAAAACTCGGGAAAAATCTCTTTGGAAATAGTAAAAACCTCATTCACTTTTACTTTGAGTAACCTGATGATTAAAAAGTTATAATGATCAATCAGAGACATAACATAAGAGGTTTGCTTTTGGAAAATGTTCACTCTTGGCTATACTTGAACATTTTGCTGCTATTTTATTTCTGTGATGGATTCATTCATTTTCCTACTAACAAATTGAATTTTGAACGAAGAGTGCATATACAAAATAAAGAAGAACTAACTGTAACTAATTTATGTCTTACATTTCATAGCGCAAGCGACAATCTCAAACACTAGCAAGATTTGTTCGGATTGTTGCAATTCTGAAGTATCTTCCTAGTGTGAGAATCAGAAACGTATTTATTTCTATTCTGAACAATTTTGTTCTCACAGCAAGCATAGGTATGAATTTTGTATATATATATATATAGACAATGTTTTGAATTAAACTACTATTTATTTGTTTAGTACAAGAAATCGAAAGTCTAGCAACTGTAACGAATAACACTGGTACGTATGAATGATTGATATATATATATATATATTCTCATTTTATATAGCCATTTTTGAGAACGATACAGATATACTTTCACTAAACTCTCGTTCAAATGATTAGTCTGTGTTAAATAAATAAGTCGGCAGGATATAATCTATTTTGAATGAAACCAAGTTTAACAGAAAGACTAAGAGAACAGTATTGCCTTGTGCATGAATGAATATGAATAAAAATTTTCTTTTACTGCACCGGTATAGGATATACTATTGATTCTATTTCATGATGGTAATTTTATTGTAGTTATCAATGGTACACGCATTCTTTCTCGCCGATCATTATATGAAGGTGGTGCTCCAGCAGGCATAGTTTACATCGATTCGCATAAAATAGCAGCAAAGAAAGGAAATATAACTAGTGTATCATTCTACATCGATCAAACATGTGCCTTGTCAACTGTTGAATTTGGTGCGTTTAATCTGATCAATCGTGATTTGGAACACAATCGTGCTCAACTTCTTCTCACTGAAACATCAGGTTCATTAAAAATGGGTGCTACAAATGAAATTAAGCCCTACATGCATTTGATTACTATTCAACTATGTAATGGTGATGTAACGAATAATGAACGTACTGGAAACTGTCAAGGTACTCAATTTCCTATTCTCCCACATCAATATCTGGGCATTCGTTCGGATAAATGTCGACTTGGATATGCATCAACACCAGTTGATCGTGTGCTAGCTACAACATGGGTGAGTAAAAGATTTTTATTTTGAAAACGAGAATGTCTTCAAAAGAATAGATTATACAATAGGAAATAAAAGATATTTTCGATACACTATTTTTTTTCAGCGGTAACAATAATTTATTTACAATAAGACAATAGAATACCGTTCCATATATATCAAAAAGTATGATGAGAACATACTTTTTTGGTGAAAATCAAAGCTTTTCAAAAATTTTCTTAAAATAAATTGATTATTTTCACTGAAAAATTCTACTTCAAGTATAATATCTTTCATACAATTCTTATCATTCTGTAAGTAAACACTCAGCAAATGTGTAATCCTGATAGATAATAGTAGCGAGAGAAACAACTTAGCCATGTGTTATTTATAGGAACCTGAGAATGGATTGGATGCATTTGCTACACGATACCAACAATTTAATTATCTACCATCTGCTTATACTATTCTTCAATCAGTGACAATCGATTCCTTAGAATCAAATATCAAAAAAAGTATCGAAGGACAAAAATCGATGATAAATACTATACCTCGTGTACTCTTTCTTGGTTCATATCCACCTCGTAAATGTGGTTTAGCTACATTCTTAGCAGACTTAACAGAAAATTATCCGGGGCCGTACGATGTTATAGCCGTAGATGAGCCCACTGTTGAAGGATCAAGTCGAAATTATACTGACAAGGTCATTTTTCGCCTTAATCAAACCAATTCAGATTCATACTACACGGTAGCAGATATAGTGAATTCAGGTGCATATGATGTTTTCAATTTACAACACGAATTCAGTCTGTTTGGTGGAATGTATGGTGAATATGTGATAAAACTTTTAGCTTCTATAAGAAAACCTGTGATCACCACATTACATACGTAAATTATCATTTAGTTTATATTATTCATATGCATATATAAATTATTCTTTAGAATTGTTTTAAAACCGAATAATTTCTTAATGAGTGTGATGCGCTCTGTTTGTGCTACATCATCACGTGTTGTCGTGTTATCGAATGGTGGTCGTCAACTACTTATTGATGTTTATGGAGTGGATGAGAAAAAGATCTCAGTCGTTCCTCATGGTGTACCTGATAGTAAATTTTCTCATTCATTAGCTGATGCAAAGGTCAGTTTAGGGTTTGAAGAAAATATACCAATGATGGCTACATTTGGTTTATTACATCGAAATAAGAATATTCAATTTCCTTTGAAAGCAATGCAAACAATAGTCAAATCTATTCCAAACGTAATGTATCTAATTATTGGACAAACTCATCCACAAGTTCAATTATACGAAGGTGACTCTTATGTTCATGAACTTGAAAACAATATCACAGCATTTGGCTTGACCAAGAACGTTCGATTTGTTAATAAATATATGCATGACGATGAACTAATTGCTTATTTGGGTGCTGTTGATATTGTTTTAACTCCTTATAATTCTGTAGATCAATATGTTAGTGGTGCACTTTCTTGGGCAGTGGGCGCAGGCAAATGTGTGATTTCGACTCCTTATCTCTATGCGACAGAATTATTAGATAATGGTCGTGGTTTTCTTACTCCATTCAATGACACTGCACACTTGAGTTCGTTGATCATTAAGCTATTTCAAGATACAAAAGTACGCGATAGAGCTCGTCGAAATGCTTATGATTTCGGTCGTAATATGATCTGGCCCACTATAGGTGCTAAAATTGAAGAAATTAGCCGCGATCTAATTTCCTCTGCATAAAACCAGACTATCCATCACTTACATAAAAACAATACAATAACTATGATCATCATTATAACTTTTAATACACATTTGACTTCTTTTTTTCTTTTTTTCCTAATAGTTTTTGCCCCTTGCGTCTAAAGTAACTTTTCTATTCTTTTCTTATATTATACTCGACGTTTCCATATCGTAACTACTAACCATTTCAATAAAAATAATTCAAAAATAAATGTTGCTGCAAACTTTTAATACACATTTTGACATCTAATGATAGCTGTATATTTGAAAGAATGCAAATGATTTAATTGTAAATTTCACCAAGATAAGTTTTTGTTGGTATTAAGCTCAAATCTCAACCCAAAACAAAAACAACTTTTTATTCAACAGTTAATTTTTAATAGAATTGATATTGAACCAAAGTACAGTTAACAGATGGAAATTATTGTGTAATGAGTGCAAAAACAAATGTCTCAATTTTTATTCGTTGCTGTTCTTTTCTTCTTCACATATTGCGTATTTTACCTATGATTGACTAGAGTTGGTTTGCTTCGAAATTGACTCTATACAATGAGTATTTTTTTTTATTTAGTTCTAATTGTATTGTATTCTTTCTTTTGTTGATTTAAGTTTTCCATTTTTCTTGTTGAATCCATTAAGAAAAAGTCTATCAAGAAAAATAAATAAATAACATTCATAAGATAAAGTACTTTTATCGTTGCATTTGTGAATGTTAGCTTTTGGGAACCACTGCTTCATGCAGCACAACAGTCATTTCATCTCACATTAATTAGACAGTGTCTTTCTTCGACGAAGTGGACTAGCAAATAGTTGAAAAAATAACAATAAAATCAGCTGTATTGATTATTTTTCGTCGATATTCTATGATATCAGCGAAATGTTTTGATGAAAAATACATTAATACTTGACTACATCACGGTTAATATATTTCTTTGATTATATCCTTAAGTATAGCAGAAATTATAAAGCTTTGCCATCCTAACAGAATCGTCATTTCATACCTTTTTTTTCAAACATAATCAATTGAATATTTTTCGGTACGCTTTCGTCTATCAAAGGTAGTAGCAACGGGTATTTTTTTAAAGACCCAATTAAACTGAATTATGAACGTAAACCTAGAATAGATCCACGGCATCTACATTCACATAAATTGATACCCACCTCGATAGGATGCGGGTATGAATCACATTAATAAGTTTTTCTTGGGCGTATAATTAGAATAGAAAACTGCCTCTATGCAATTTTTACAGTACAAATCTAAGATAGACAGGTTGTTAAATAGATCAAGACAATAATAACAGTATCATGGAGAAGTGCTCTATACTATACAGTAAGATAAATAGCGCCCTCTAGTTCTTTCTATATATATTTTTAGTTCACACAGAAAACGGATACTTATGGAAATAAATGAAAAAACTCAGATATGCGTTAAATCTCAAATATGAAATATGATTCAATAGATATATTCGCTTAACTATTAACCAATGGTTTTTAATCAAAAATGAAACTAGTGTTGAGAAATTTGGTGTTTTCTTTTTTAAATTGATACTCAACATATTGCTATGGTCATTTTGATAGATATTTTATCATAGTTTTTATTGAATTATTTAAAAAAATCTACTATTCATTTAACAATTTTCTATCATGAACGAAGGCTATAGTTTTCTTCAACTTTGTATGATGCTTCTCTTTTGAAGTAATTTCTTTGTTAACTTTAAATAAAATTTTTAGTGTTTGTCAAGTATTCCGATTCAGAATATCTCAGCGAAGCTTGGACGCCAATCAATGAAACTCTCAAACAATTTCTTCAGAATTCTGTTGAAAATTTCAAACCAACATCATATCAAACTACTTATTGGTAGAGAAGCAGCAATACTTTCAACGAAATTTCTATTCTAATCTTTATTATAGTCAAATATACAAAAGTGTATGTAAAGGTTACAAAGAACGACTTTTTGATGATTTAAAAAATCTTGTTACAGAACATTGCTACAGTTTGAAACGACAATTGGATGAAAGTGTAAGATTTCCCATTGATGTTCTTACCATAGAAACCATTGAAATTACTAGATGCAAAAAATGATCGATGATCGTTCAAATACTCGTATGAATCTTTTCTTTCTACAATTTACCAATTTACTTCATCAATATCGTCGAGCCATTGAAGGAATTGTGCCACTTTTCGTAAGAGATCTTTAAAAGTAATTGTATCCTTTCACATTGATTATGTTTCATATTTTTAGCATTATCTAGTTAGTTAATTTTTATTTTATTTATGAAAACAAATCCATTTTTTATTTTTTATTAACGAAGGATATTATTTATGTTAAACCAAAAGTCAGATCAAGTGTTGAGCAGGAGCTATTACTTCTTTATAAAACAATTATTGTTGAACCTTTTCTTAATCATATCTTCAGTAAATAATTTAAAGTGTCAATTTAAATTGTTTTAAAACAGCTTATTCTAGCTTTACTTCAACATCTCATCAATACATCACATAGACCATCTAAAGAGACAATCGATTTATTATTACATTTGATAAGTGACATCACACCGGGTACATGCGTAAACTTGAGGTTTCTTTTTCATAAAAAAATTCTTTTCATATAGAATCAGCGATCAAACAATACGATTTATTTAAAAGATACTGTGATGGTGAAGATGTATTCAGTGAAATTACTTCAAATGATGAAGACATGATAACATCTGCACCGTTCGTAGTTCGAAAATATTGTTTGTTATGTATTTTTTTGTCATTTCTTTCAGGCGAACCACTTCAAAAAGGCCAGTTGATGATTTACTAGGAGAAGAAGGTATAGAAAAACTGAAGTCTTCTTTTTTCTTCCTACTATTACTATTTTGAACAGTACGAGAACTTTCAATCTTTTTCTATTGAAAAGGACAAGAGCAAAAACTGTGAGATACTCTTGGTAATAGTTCTAGTTTTTACTGAAATATGAAATATCTCACAAAAATCTACAGTTTCAGGCGTTTTTTTTTCAGGTAGTTAGAAATTATGTTTTAAACACATCTCAATCACAATATTCAATGAGCTTTCATCTTATATATAAAGCCAGCAGTCCTAACTTTGAGTTTTACGAAATATACAGTAATAGTTTTCTCAGTAAATACATCTTTATTTTGAATAGTAGTTGCTAATTCCTTCTGTCTCGAATAATAACAATTTCTGTAATGTGAGAAACAGTAAGAAAATGATGATATCTGTATGGTATCATGACAAGCAATCATAAGGCGCACATCAGCCATAGATAAGTCAAAGAAAAAATAATGTCTGTGCTTTGCTTACGGTTTCGTATACGTTTTTCATGTTAATAACTAATAACAAAGATCTCGGAGTACATCTTCCATTAACCTCATATGCATGATCAATATCTAATGATACTTTCATAACGGGATATGGAACTACCTTCTATCATTCGATACAGAAAAGATCATCTCGCGTTTTTTTTTTTTGAAAATATATAACATAATTCTTTCATTATATAAAAATATGCTTTTCTTTAGATCAACCTTCAGCGAAACGTACAACGAATATAATCAAATCTCCACATACAGATAATTAGAATTATTTTCTGTTATTCATGTTTCGTTGTGATAATTTTCTTAATACATCTAATAGTAATATTTGTTTTTGAGGCTTGTGAAAATATGCTATTTCGAACAAAAAGAAAATAAAGTTGTTGCGTTTGATAAGATGTTTTTTACTTGCTCACGTTGTCATGAATCAAAATTTTCAAATAACATAATTTTACTCAATGTTTTGCTGCTAATTCAATAAATCGATAGTTCAAATCTTTCTTTCTTTTTATTCATGTAAAGAAATAGAATCTACAAATACGTCTTCTCCAATATTCCGTTATTTTCTATTCTTTTCAATGGTCAAATTCCAACTCATATGAAAGAGCAACATACTTTCTATGATTGCACACCCAAGCAAAGCAAGTGAATCAATATTCATTCATAACTCATTTAAAAACTCTATCATTAGGTATGTCTCACGACATTGTTTCAATAATAGGCATGATTTCGCTTTTAACGTCTTTGTCACAAATTATTTTTAGAAAAGGAAAAAAATTAGATGTTAAAAAGAAACATGTTCCGTGTATATTTTATCAGCATCGAAACTTTTGATGATTATCATATTTATTTTTCATACGAGTTTCTATTATTATTCTATTGTAATTAAAATCCAAAACATACAACATAATGAGCTATATAAAAACATTTCTTCTATGTCTGTCAATGAATATATTGCGAAATGTTAAAAAAGAAACTGTCATCCCTATTTTTCTTAGTCAACTGCTGCCCTCTAAATTGAGATGAGGTTATATTACTTAAAAAGCTTGTTCTTTTTTTCACGCTATTTGATTGCACAATGACAACTTACATCAGACGAAAGAACACAGGAGGAAAGGAAGAATTTATTTGTGTCGATGTGTATAATTTATTTTCTTATTTTTGTTCTGAGAAAATTCGTTAAATCTTTATGCATCTATGATTTAAGATATTAAAAAAAGTGTGAAAAATGGCAACAGCTATGTCAGCAAATTGTATGATTTCAGTATGTTCCAATTAATAACCTATGAATCATAATCAACGGTTTTTTCTAGCCAGAACCATTATTAGAACAATTCAATTGCCCAATATGTCTAAACATAATGAAAGATGTTTGGGTAACAGTGTGTTTCCATCGTTTTTGTGAGGAATGTATCAAAGGTGAATTAGAAAAACAATCTAAAAACATTAATTAAATTTTTATTTTGACACTAGAATCTATCAATTCAAATCATCGATGTCCGTTGTGTAATAAAGATTTACAGCAAGATAATATTCAACGTGATGCTCAATACAATACTTTACTAGGTTCTGATGCTTCTCTTCTTTTCTCTTTCTTTATTTCGATATTTACAATTTATTTTTTCAGAAGCTATTGACAAGGCCATTCAAGATGCTGAAGCACATAAAGCAGCATCATTTGCTAATCAAAGTAAACCAATCTTCAATTTATGTGATAAGCAAATCGTTTTTTTTTCAAATTTTAGTTGTTACTCAAATAGGCGATAATTCAGTACGAACAATTCTTGAAGAACTCTTTCGTGGTATTTTAATCGATTCTATTTATACGTATATAAACATTTATATTAGATACTCTTGTAACATCGTTGGCCAATCATTTAACAAGCGAAAATGATATGCGTAGTCGATATAAACGTAAAAAAAGTGATATTGAAGCAGCATATAATCGAGCTGTAGTGAGACTTCAAGAAAAAAAATCAACAAAGGAAGGTAAGACTAAATAGAACACTTAGTTTTTAAATAATAATTAATTTTTTCATAGAATATAAGAACAATCTTGATGAACTAACTATTAAATTTAAAGACGATATAAAAAAACTCGATGAAGAAATTCGAAATGTTCAAGTACTTTTTATTCAGGCATATAAAAAGTCAGTTTCGTTGAAATTCATTAAACGGAAATAATCCTACTTTCTACTTTAGTCATCTTAATGAGCATGTTTCTAATTTCGGCGCTGTTTCAACACAAGTTCGAGTCACATTATGGAAAGAAGATCATTTCTTTAAGAATAAAGATAATCAATATCCAATAATACTAATGCGTCCCGAAGATCGGTAAATATCTTTTTATAGAAACTATAAAAATTATATAAAAACAATTGATTTAGAATGGAGATATTGTTGCAAGCATTAGATGAATTAATACTATTAAATAATGATAAAGTAGTAAAAACTGATGGCGTGGTCCTTTTCACTTGTATTAAGTATGATAGAATATATTTATGTTAAATAAATTTATTTATTATATTCAGTTCGTTGGACGATCTATCTGAACAGTCAGTAATAAAACGACTTAAAAGAATGGATATCGAAGATGATGATGATGATGACGATAATAATAGTTTGTTGACTGTATCTCGTAATTGTCGACCTATTTTAGAACATAAACTAGTGAGTCATTTGTTTGTTTGTATGTATTTTACTATTATATAAAGATTCATTTAAATAGCTACGAGGAACACTTGTTGTTATTCATGGTGAAGTTGTATTAGAAAGTGAAATACCAAAAAAATGTTTTAAACAAATTTATCACGAAGATCCACATCAGAAACATCTAGTCGATTATTTTCAATGTCAACAATGCGGAAAAGATGGAAAACCACTAAGATGTACAAAACATTGATTTTAGATGAAGTCTGCTTTTTTTTTAATTTTTTTTTCTTTCTATTTAGGGATTTGTAAATCTTGCGCAAGGGCTTGTCATAAAAGTAAGAAAATGAGTTATTCAAAGCTAAAAAGTGATGCTAGTAATGAGCAGGCTTTATCGACTGACATATATCGATTCTCTTTTGTTATCGCTAGACAAAATATTATACCGAAGAGGTCTTTCATCTCAAAGATTTGAAAAATAGATTTTCGTAATTTTTCTTTCTTATAAAAAGCTAGCAAATTATTAGTTTCGAACCAAGAAGACTAATCTAAATAGAACGAATAACACACAGCGAGTAATAGAGATGCATGAAGGCAAAGATTTTTGCTACAAACTACACGATTTCAGCTTCGAAATTTTATCTTAACATAGACAGAGATGCCTTACTGATTTTGGACTGTATGTATCAATGATCTTTGAATACTCTAACAAAAAAAAAAGACTATTGTTCCGAAGCTAGTGCTGTGGAGTTACAAAGAAGAAAGAGTTAGGCTTATTTTCATTATTGTTTCTTTGTTTTTCTATGAATGCTTCAGTGAGCATTTATTCGGGTTTAGGCAATCTGAGTTAACGATAAACAGTTTGATACAAATGTACAGAACAGTACCTGATGATACACAATAAAAATAATTAAAAATATCGTGTAATTTTCATCATGGATTTATAGGGCTAAATTCAAAGATATATAAAAGAATGAGAATTAATGATTCTTTGTTGTATGATTAATATAATATATTAAACGCTTGAAATATTCTCTTATCAATAGACCATGATATTACTCCATTAATGTTTGGCAATGAAGCTAGTGGGTAATGTTTAATAGCAGAGAAAGCGAAACTGTTCTTAATCAACTTTGTTTCTTTGCTTTAGACCAAAATGCGACTGTAACAAAAGTGATCGCCGCAAAAATGTTTGTCAAATATATCCACGAAACTGACCGCTACATTTTTTATTTCTAAACTAATATTTATTTTCCGTCCTTTGTTTTTACGATAATATTTTCTTACATATACATATTTATAATTCCGAGTTAAATGGATTTCTTCTCTTGTACGTATCATAATCAATAGAGACACGTTAATGAAATAAATTTTAACATGAATATATTCTGTAACTTGAAAGAAAAAGAAAAAAAACAGAAATGATTAAATGTAAAAGAAATACTGATGGATATAAGAAAAGAGATGAAAGATTTTTTTCTTTCTTTACCAAAACAACAATCACATTGAAAAAAAGACAAAAACAAAAATATTCACATTGTCTTGGGAAAAAAAATGAGAAGTACTCTGTTCAGATTATATAATGCACTTATTGGAATGTTCCATGTAAGGAAAAGATCTATGTGACTAGCAGATACATAATGAGAAGGAAAGAGCAACACCAATAAAATATTGCAGATTAAAATCAAAAATTAACTAAAAATTAAAATTAACAACTACGATCATTTTCATCACCAGCTTTTTTCCCGATAGCATCTGGATTTTGAATTGGATCGAGTTCAGCAAATAAATTAAACCAATTTGATTTGTCTGTATTTTTTCCTGTTGTTGCTTGCGTTGGCTTTGGTTTCGGACCTGTTGATGATGTCATCGCTGGTTTATTTGTTCTATTTGCTGATGATAATAATTCACTGAGAAGAGATGATGGAAGAAAATTGTTATTTGATGCGCCAGTATTATCTTGAGTAGCAGACGTTGGAAAATATTGCTGATTCGTTGAGAGATTACCGAACGCTGCTGTCCAATCAGCATCAAAACCAGTAGTTTGATTTAATCCAAGAAGATCAGTATTGGTATTATCATTATTAATTTCAGATGATAATGGTGAAAGTAAATCGGAAAATAATTTATCGTGGTCAACAGATGAATCTAATAAGTCAACAAGATTATCTCCACTATTGGATGCACTTGGTTCTGCATTCGTATTAGCAGCAGCTGCTGCTGTTGCAGCTTGATCAATGGTTGTTAGTTTTTCGATTTCAAGTAGCTGATCATCAAGTTGAACATCGGATATATCGATTAAGGCATTGATTGGTTCAGTTAGATCAATAATTTCTTCTACATATTCATGAAAAACATAAATTTTCAACTTTTTTTTTTCAAAAGAAATTTTCTTACTCTTCGACGTAACATCAGCCGATGCTTTTTCTATTGAATTATTGGTTGAATCATCGATATCAATAAGTGCATCATCTGTTTTTGTTTCGTTGTTTTTCACTTTTTCTTCTTTTTCATCTTCTGGTTTTTTCTTATCCAAAAATGCACTCGAATTCATCTCAGCTAATAATCGACTCGGTTCGACAAGATCTTTAATAACAGTAAATTCATAATATTGATAGCCTTGAAATGATTCGGCAACAGCCGACATTATTTTTGATGTTTTAGCCCAAAAGTTAAGTAAACTTTTTTGATAAGCTGCTAATACATGTGAATACATATTACTAAGACGAACAAAATAAGAATAGTGTAAGATAAGAACATGCGTATGATTTTTAAAATATTTGTCTTTAAGCTTAGAATGCTATCAGAGGAGACGACTTCGGTGCATTCTATTTCCTGACCTCGGCAAGCAATAGAAAATTCTAAAAGAAAAATATCTGTCAATCTTACTTTATTAAAGAGACCAATTGACTAATACTTATTGGTCTTGAATTGGAAAAGATTACTTTTATTTTTATGTTGGCGTCTCGAAATAAAAGACAGTTAGATTTTTAATAATTCATCATAATTCTCATATTGACATAAAGTGACTTTAGTAGTTGCTCGTTCTGACTCAATTTCTTTCGTGCTCGAATACTAAATGCAAATAAATATTTGTGACGAATCCATAGAGAATTCAAGTTTTCCTACTTCATCATACAGAATCCGAAAATCAAAAATTTGTATGATTATACAAAGCAATAGAATCACTGATCTTCGAACGAAGGAGACATTGCTAAACTGTCGATGAATATTTTCCAAGGAACCTTCTCAATATTAAGAAATGCCTCAAATATAACTTTTCCAGTAATATTGCCTATTCGAGTTATCATAATGGAAGGAAATATAACTGCAGCTTATATAAATTTTCGAATATTCTCTGTGATACTAACCATCGGCTAGCTGTAAGTAAATCGATTTTTTGTATAACATCCGATTTTAATTTGTCATAGTCAATTTTCGTTGCTTTCACTTGACTTTGTACTCGACGAAACTTTTCTAATTGTTTATCTGGATCAACTTGTGCTGATGCATCTTTCAGCCATAAAATACTGCCACGATATTCTGTTCGTGCTGTTTCCATACGTTTTACTGTTGTTAATGTATCTGTGACTGCGCGAAGACGAAATGTTTCAATTTCATTATGTAAACGTAATAATGGCTGTCGGAGAGTTAATCGTTGTTGAGCTGTATAAGCAAGTACTTTTGATACACTTGCCATCATTTTTCCTGCACGTGTTTTATCCGTTTGTGCGTAATCTTTTAGAAATCGAGCCATATCTGTTTCTTCATGAGAAAGAAACAGAACATTTGTTTGATACCGTTCCATAATCTAAATAGAATCATCACGAGTTGATTAGCAATATGAAAAAGAAAACGACGATAGAAAAAAAATCAAGTAAACATACACGAATTAAATCATAGCATGATCGTCTAATGGTATAAAGTAATTCAAGTTTAGCATCAACATCAGCATCCGACGCAATAACAAATTCGTCTTCTTCTCGGCCAAGCTTTTTAATTACAAGTTGTTTTGTTGTCCAATATTTGGAACGTAGTTTACCTAAACTTGTTCGATCTTGATGTTCAGAATGTTTGTCATATGAAAAATTATTCGAATTTCTATAACTCATATTTGTATCGACTATTCTTTTCTTCTAAGAAATAGAGAGAGACTGAGGCCAAAAAACAACACCTTGAATCATTCGAATTTTTTTCTTAATCATCAAGGAAAAAAGTTTCTTTTATTCACGCCAATAGGCTATTTTCTTTCGACCTCTATTGAATGATTTTACGATTGGTTAGACAATCCAAACTAGCAAGCACACACGTCACGTAAAACAAAAGACGAATTGGATCTTTGATATAGTTGCTGCAAGGATTCCGTTTAAATAATGTTGCCCCGAACTTCTTTTTAAGTATATACGTAATCTATTGAATTTTCAAGAATAGAACAGCACATAGATTTAATGGAACACTGCTCTCATGCTAAATAAAATATTAGACATTTACAAATAGAATCATGTGAAAAATGATCTACGTATTTATTTTTTGAACATTGATTTTATTTTAATTCTAGATTTGTATTTGTTATTATTATAAGAAAGAAAATGAGTCAATTAGGACAAGTTGCTGGTATTTTAGGTAAACTTAATAATGAATATCAAACGACTACACCAAAGAAATTAAAATTAATCGATGCTTATTTGGTTTATGTTCTATTAACTGGTATTGTTCAATTTGCTTATTGTCTTCTTGTTGGAACATTTCCATTTAATTCATTCCTATCCGGTTTTATTTCAACGGTTGGCTGTTTTATTTTGGGGGGTAAGATCTTGCTTTCGTTCGATGGGAAAGGCTTTTTTAAATCGATTCTTTTGTTCTTTTTTATTTTAGCAAGTTTACGTATTCAATTAAATAAAGCTAATCAATCTACATTTAATGTTTCACCGGAACGAGCCTTCGCTGATTTTGTCTTTGCTCATGTTATTTTACATTTAGTTGTGGTTAATTTTATTGGCTAAAAATGAAGTGCAAAAACTGAAAAAGACATTTTACAATATATTATCTCTTGGGTGTTTCTGTTGTTTTAGCGGTTTTGTTTTCTTGATCGTAGTTTCATTGTTGATTTACTCTGTCTTAACTCTTTTTTTCATTGACGTTTAAGTATGTTAAATGAAACATAAAATAAAAAAAGAAGTGAATTATTTGAAAATTGACTTCGCCTTCAATTAGATTAAAGAAAAGCAACAAAATTCACCAAGCATTTTTATTCCATGAAATAAACGAGATCAATTGTTAATCTTTTATTTATTGCTTATGAAAAAACAACGGAAAAAAAATGAGTGTGTTTAAAGTATAAATGACGCTTTTCTTTATTTGCGAACATATAAAACAATATAAAGGTAAGAAAGAAGCATTATCGATTTCAAGAGACATATTCTTAAGACTTCTTGTTGATAATGAGAAATTTAACTTTCATGAAAAAACAGTAGATAGAATTGTTTCTTTCGTATGTCTCAATGGATAATTGTACCGATAGAGAAAAGACAAGACAACAGCTATGGTATAGTGAGTAAAATAAACTCAAGATTAATGAGATTGAAAGCAAAAATTAAGGAAACATTATATTTGATCAGTAAAATAAATGAAATGATCAGTAAAAAAAGAATATTGAATGATCAGCACTAAAATGATCAGTAATTATTGTTAAAGTGATCAGCTTATTATATATAATTACCAGTAAAAAAGATAAAATTGATCAGTAAAACATAGAAATTTGGGTGCGAGTGTGATTCTTCTGCTCATCTACACTACCCCGACACGCTTTTTTTTGAAATTCTTTGATTTCCATTTATTTCATCATTTCCTTCCAGAACCTCTTTGTCTGATATATCACTTTCATATTGAACAACTTGTACGACTTCCATCTTTTGTACTCGTTGGTACTAAGCTGAATGTGAAAGAAAGGAGCTACGAGTACATTTATACATGTTGTACTTATCAGCTGTACGATATATAGACCAAACGAACAACCATGAAAAAAAGTAAATCACCTTATAACACATTTCAATTTTATACTGATCTTTTAATCTAATTTACTGATTTTTAAATATATCAATAAATCGAAGTATATTAATAACTGACCACACAAATAATGTACTGGCCATTCAATTATTTTACTGATTTTATATTTATTGTGCTTACTGATCATTTCGCTTATTCTACTGATCGTTTAAATGATAGCCAAAAATTAATGAGCAATTAGCAAGGTGAATAGTAATAAGGTGAATACATTTGTTGTTGTACCATAGGATAGCCTTGATAGTTTACAACAGGATTGATTGGATAATATGGTTGTTGGAATTGTTGATATCGCGGAATATATTGCAGTGAACCATTCATCATATTTCCTTGTTGAAATCTTTGTTCTCTCTCAAAATTTGGCGATAATTGGGCATTCTGTTGACGGCGATGTTCAACGTTAGCTGAAGACGAACCAAATGGTGAACTAAAACGATGAGGTGATGGAACTCTTTCATGTTCGCCGATGAAATATGGCGATGAAGATCGTGATCGTCCCAAATAAGGCGAATGTGCTCGTCGACGAAAATGTTCAGGTGAACCAGGTGGCCGATGACGAAAATGCTCAGGCGAACCAGCTCGTGAAAAATGAGCCGGTGAATCTCTGTAATATTGATTACGAGATTTTGATCGACGAAAGCCTAATGCTGACGCAATGGCATGAAACGGAGAAGAAGATCGAACATTTTCCTCAGAGTAAACATCTGAGCCTTCATCGATAACACCACCATATCTTGGCATAGGAATTTCTAGTAGATCCGGTAAAGGTGGCACGATTTCATTTGGATGCATTGCAGCATAAGCTCGTCTTTCTCTCTCTTTTAAAGCAACATATCGTACCGCTGCTTCAGAAACCATTTGCTGTACAATAGGTGGTAAGGGCTCCTGAAATACGTCTCCATCATGATTTTCAGTTCGTCTAAACTTTCGAAAAATACCCATCGACAGTTAACAATACTCACTGATGATAAATAGTAAATAGAACTGTTTGTTTACATCCTATTTTTTTTTTATATAATACGAAATCATTCAACCAAATCAAACAAGAGAAATTATCAATTAGTTGATGAATAATAGCTACTTTTTTTGTGCATATTATGTTTTCAAAGAAAATCAAGAAATGCGCAATCATACTAATTTTAAATTCTATATTCACAGGAAAAGAGTAGCTACTAAAATTGATCGATCATTTTGCATACAAAAAAAAAGAAGGACGACATAATTTGATCTATGTTATTGATAAATATAAATTAATATCATCGCAGCTATTTTTTGTTTAATAAATTGATAATTTCACGGACAGTCAATCTGTAACTGGCTCTATGAAACACTGTTATAGGTTTTCACACACGTTTAATTTTTTTAAATATAACTCAATATCAATATTATATATCTTTAACGTGTGCATGGGTGAAAACGATGTAGTAATAGAGTTATCAGAAATGAAAATCTCAAGCGAAAAAAGACAGGGTACTCGTATGACTGACAAATTTTTATTCGGATGATCACTTGAAAAGAAAAGCGTAAAACGAACGAACAAAGATGGCTGTTGTTCAAAACCATACTGAAAATCATCAGAAAGTATCACTATCAAGACGAATAGCAAGTATGTATATTTTCTAGATCATAACATAATTGTAACTCTTTCAAAATTATCAATAAATGATTCTTAAAGATATATATATATATATATATAGCCAAGCATAGACTCAAGATACAGATTGTTCTCAACTTAAGTTTGACACCACCACTTGAAAGATACGCTCCTTTTAATACTATGAATTTTATGATATCAGATGAGTTCGCGTGTGCATACGTACGTACATATATAAAAATATATATATATATATACGTATATGAGTCTATTTGTTATCATTTGGCTGATTTGAGCTTTGCAAGGGCATAACACATGAACACAAAAAATGACGATGAAGAATAAAAACTAAGAGATCGATAGAACACATACGCGTACGTGAGGATCGAATTTCCTTTCTACTCTCTCTTTCCTTCTTTATTGTGCTTATTTGTTCGCAATCGAGGACGGCGTTCACTTGTTGTGCCGACGAATGAAGTAGTGTTGGTATCTAATTTTTACAAACAAAAAGAACCTCGTACCGAACGAGTGAGTAAGCAACGAAAGGCGAAAAAGAAAAAAATGTACGCATGCGATATTTGAGTCAATGTAACTATTTTTAACGTTATTGAAAAATGAAGAACAACAATTCATACATATAACTGATATAGATGAGAATAGACACGAGTAACCAAAGACTGTATTCTCTCGTTTTTTTTTTCTATATACCTATACATATACATGCATATTAATAAGCGGTTCATTGATAGGGCATTGGCATTGTATTGAAAGGAGAACAAACGAAGCACCTGTTGATTTGTCTTTGCAACCTTTTTTTTTATAGCTTACATAGCATCGATGAATTTGGCTAAGGTATTTCGTCGTCACCATCCGAAAGAATCAACTTCACCTGTTCGAAAAACATCCGAAAGACCATCGTTTATTCATCCATTTCAAGGATATCCTCGTCCATTTTCTTATCATATTCCAGCAACTGAACAATTATCTTCGTCATCATTAACTAAAACTTCAAATATAGTTCCATATCGTATTGGTTTAACTAGTGATAGTACACTTTTGGCTAATGGTCAAACCAATGAAAACGATGATATTGTTCGTTTACCAGTTAAAAGTGGTAAAGGACATTATCCAAAATCACGTAAAGATCCTCGTTCTCAATCTCAACTAAATGCTAATAAACGATGGTTATTTCGATCCATGGAAGCACTTGATGAATGGAAAGAGAAAGTATTTACACAAAAATCTCGAACAACTGAGTTTGTATTAAACAGTATAAATAAGACACAACCTTTCATTCAATCTTTTTAAATTCTAGTCAGTCACGATCGCGTAGTGTAGAAAACTTAGCTGATGATGATGATGATGATGTATTAATAAATAAAAATCCTTCAACAGTACAACAACATGAACGTGCGACATCACCTAATCGAAGTATCGAGGCGATTACGAATCGCGTAATCAATAGTATCGGTATTCATCGAAAATCGACTAATTCAATATCTAATACTACACGAAGTCCAGCATTAACTATTCAAAAACAATCATTATTTAATCATTCAAACAATGTTCATAATAATCTATCAAAACAATATAATAATAATAATAATGAACAGCATCCATCAGCTATTCTTGATTTTCGTGAAATATCTTCTGTTGGATTTTTGCATTCAAGTAAATATACATTGTTTAAAAAAAACAAATTTATGAATTCATTCTTTTTCTATTTAAGGAACACAATTAAATGATAATAATGAAAATATTTCATTAACAACATCAGAAAATATAATCACTAGTATAAATATTAGTGATGATGGAGTTGCTGGTATTGAGGATGATGAAATAATTAGTAATTTATCGTGTCTTACCAATGGTTATGATCATAATGATGATGATCATCATCAGGTTGAAACATCGGATGCATGGGACTTTAGTGTTACATGGCTTGACTCTCTCAAGGAACAACATTCACCACAACGTAAAATTCAATTTTATGAAAATTTAATAAACTTACTCGAACAAGATACATTAAATATTGATGAGTTACTTGTACTACGTAAAATACTTGCTAAAATTTGGCCTATCAATGAAATAACAACAAAAGACTCGAACAACCAATTATTTTCTATGGAATCAAAACCCACACCCATCAGCAAATCACTTAGCAATCTCAATAAAGTTAAACAACGTCCGAAATTACCTAAAATGACACATCATACAGCTCAACGATGTTCAACTATTATCGAACCAACATCACTAACATATGAACCATTACATGAACAGAATAGTGGCCATACAGCGAAAGCATCATCATTATTAATTGCTGCTAAAGCTAAAGTTTGTACTGTTGAAAATACAGATGAATTAATTTCAAATCAAAAGCAAACTTCAAATAGTGAACAAACTTATCCTCAACATTTAAATCCATTCGATGATGAAACAGGTAAAGACAAACGTCTGATTAACATAGTAAAACAGCATAGATTTCTTTCATCAACAGATATTGCACCATCATCTGAATCTGATCGGAATGCAAATAATGATTCTATTCGTCGTTATTTTGAACGACTTACACTTCTTGAAACTATTTATGAAAAATTAAATATTGAATCAAATAAAACACCGATAGAATCTATGAATCATCCAAAAATCTTAGCACAAGAAAATGTAACTGAATTATCATTATCATCACCAACAATAACACAAACCAATCGTCCTAACGAAAAACAGACTGGAACAACCTTGGATGTAAGAAATTACACACGTCCATATTCATCAAATAAATCAGGTAGGCATAAATACTCCAATAAATAACGATTTTACTCTCTCTCTCTCTATATATATATATATTGTCACAGATATAAATAAAACAATTTTGAATAAATTCATTGAAATGAATGTCGACGGAAGTGGAAGTATTAGTAGTGGTAAAAGCTCAATAAAACGACGGGCACCAACAGCTCCACATATATCCCAAAATGATAAAAAAAAACATCAACAGCAACTAGACAATTCAGTAAGTAAACATCAAATCTTACCACGTATTATTACTTCGACTGTACAACATAAATTTTGAAGAGAACGAAACGAAGAAATTACGATAGATCTTCTAACAGCAATCATAAAGCTCTTATAAGCTATAGGCTCTATAAATCAATTTTATCATCTTTTTGCCGCACTTGATTGCATTGATTCAGGAAAAAAAATTCTTTCTTTTCGTAGAATATGTTTTCTTTATCATCAACTGATTTGAATTTAACACACAAAACGGATCAAGATATACATAGTACATCTATTGGATTTAAATCTTATGACGGAAAGTACACAAAACAACCTATCGAAAATCCAGCTGCTTCATGTGATGATAATGGACACGTTTTTGTTTATAATTCTGAACCAAATCCTATTCATCAAGAGCAGCCAAGTATCGCAGAATACATCACTTTTTTTTCTAGGATACTATATCACTTTCCTTTTTGTTTTTAGCTGTATTACCAAAGAAAACTGAACGTATTCAACAATGGTTATCGGCATGTGAAAGAAAAGAAGAATTGAATATGCAAAATAATTTATCATCTTTATCACAAAGTACAAGTCCTAAAACTCAATTAAAGATGCGTTGTATTGCTAAACCAAACCGACCATCGAGCTTATCACCACAACTTTATTATGAAAAAAATCTACCAACTGTAGAGATTAATGAAATCGAACCAACTCGTTTTCGAAGTTGTTTAAAAATTAATCTTGAAAAAAATGAACCGGCTAATCATCAACGAAGTCGACCACCATCTACGACACTTAAATATTATCACCAACAAAAGTCATTCGCCAATGAGAATCTCAACTTCACGAATGATGATGACTATTTTGAACGAAATACACTATCGCCTAGTCTTCATTCTGATTATCAAGCTGTATATCTTTAATGTTTTCGTTTTTTTTTCTCTTGCCTTTGTATATTTATATTTCGATTGACATTTTTCAAATATATATCAGCTTACATCGAATTTATTTTTCTGGATAACATTTTCGGGTTAATCGGCGAATTTGATTTATCGAAGTTAATTGATGCGATCGTATCAATTAAATCATTCGTTGTCTCCTCGTCTCTCTCTCTCTCTTGCTTCGCATCAATTATCAGCTACTATTAATTGATGTGAGTCTATCAAACTATTGGAAGAGTATATATGTGCTCGGTTAGTTCGAAAATTCTATTCACATTTAACAAATATCATCCCTCGACAATAATCAACTATGCAACAATCTCAACCATCATCATCATCATATATGTATCCATCATCACCGACGCCTAGTGTTCCACTCTACGATTCAGGTTACTCATCATATGGCTATACATCACCTTCACCATATTCATTACATTATTCAACATGTCCATATGCAAATAATGAATCATACTATATTCCTGCGGAACCTTGTGAGTTCGAATTTTTTTATTCTAGAGAATAATTCGAAAGATTTATATCATTTTAGATATGCCATACTGCAGTCCAGCATCAGAAACAATACAACAAATTCCACAACCATTTGCTAGTAGTACACCTAATCAACAAAGTAACGTATGTCTTGTCCCGACAATCAAGGTAAGAGTCTAACTAGTTTTAAGTTATTTAACAGTGTCGTATTTTGTGAGTAATCCTTTTTTTTCATTACTAATTTTTCATATTGTATGAATTCACTCCTAAAATTTTCTTCTGATTCTAGAATGTACAACCGAAACGTCGCCTTCAACAACAACAACAACCAGTCATGGCTTCTCCATCTTTTTGCCCAGTAAGTATTTCTACTGAATTAAAAACATTTCGTGATCAATTTTCTTTTCTATTGTAGACTCGTAAACGTATCAGCGATGAAGCAATTGAACGTCTTAATGCATTTTATGAAATAAAGAAACGCCCAACAGAAGCAGAAAAAGATCGTATCGCAATGGAATGTGATATTTCGCTAGCACAGGTCAATACATGGTTCAATAATGCACGCTCACGTCGTGGTGATACCAATCCAAAATTAGCGCAAAAATTACTGAAGCAACAAATTGCTGCGTTAAACAATCAAGTTACTCTTCTTCAACAACACCATCAACAGTCGTCGTCTGGACATGACTCATTTTGATTTCTTCCTGTTTCTTTTTTTTATTATTAAGTTCTGTGCGTGTTTTATTTTCTCTTGTCAAATAAAAAAAAGTATTTTGACAATAACTCTTGTATTTATCTCTTGAACAGCAAACATCTTTTATTCGATTAATTTATTCAGTAAGATAATGCATTAGCATAAATAAACAGGATAGCGATAGTGCATAGTTAGAAGTGGAATGAATGAGGCTCTGCTCACTTTTATGAAGGTCGTTTGGTGGTAACGCTAGATTGAATATTATGAAGGTAAATTTTTCCATATTTGCATTCATATGAAAAATGATAGATTTCAACGAAATTGAAGTAGGTTGTGATGTTGGTCTTCGTCCGGTCCACGTATTTATTCTATTGTAGAAAGTGTGATTAGTTGAAAGAAATAATCTATCGATGATCGATATATTTAATAGGGTAAGTGAGGAGGTGAACGAAACAAGAAGTTTCTTTGTTCATGAGATCAGTACTGTTAAAATAAATAAAATAACATTCGTTGCTTTGTTAAGACAATGATTAAACTATTGGGAATAGAATGAGATTTTTTGGATGAGAAAAAGGAACTAGTGTGTTATAAAAGATCGATGGGATGTCTAAATTAACGGACCATCATTGTATTGAATGTTAAGTCATAAAGCTATTGCAGAACTGTGAATTGTTTGAGATTGGAGGAAATCGATTTACTATTGTATCCTCTGTGACGTGTCAGTGAGTTCGAGATAAGAATAGATGCTGTTGTTGATGGTATATGTCGCGTTATAGGTGCAACGATTACGATTGATTTAGTGTGACATCGAAGAAAAAATAAAAAGAGACTATTTGTTTCTTTTCCGTAGTTTTGTATAACATCACTGACTATCTTTTCACTTAAATCAATGTTCATCGTATGTAGGACGATATTGTTTAATGGAATTCATTACTCAATAGTTGGGGTAGCTGCTGTTATCTTCCGTTATTATTGTGCTATTCATTTAGTAGTAACCGATAGCTATATGTAAAACGATAAATCAAAGACTAAGAATTAATTTTAAACGCTTTTTGAAGTTTACCATCTGAGGATTTGATTATTCATCTAAGTTGTTTGACAGTCACTATAGAATTGTAGTTCATTGGATTTTGTTAGATATGATGCAATGAGAATGGCGTTTCGTGCATGATTATTTCATCGTTGTATGTTCATTGCTGATTAACATGATCATCTTTCAGAATTTCAAAGGTGCGAGTTCATGTCAATTTTCTATGCAATCGTTCTTTTTTCTGTGGTTGTCCATTAGAAAGAGCGAGACAATTGCTGCCCCGTTGAGTTAAACAGTGGTAGTAATCATCTCATATATCTTCATGTTCACTATACACGACAGAGAAAGCAAATGGAAAAGAAAAGAACAGTGTTGTTACCTTTTCATTCTTTTCTCAAATGAGTCAAATCTATAGTTGCATTATCGATATTTATTGTTAGACTCTATAATCGATATTTCGATATCTGATAGTCGTCACATCAATGATTGGGTCAAGTTTTGATTCTGTTTCAAGGTTTGTTTGGATCTGGTTTCTTTCCGTTCTTTACACATTTCACTGGCACGCTCATAACCTAAAGCTCAATGATGAACGAATCAAAGCAGAACTTTCAAGAGTCTATAACTTTATTTTTCATAACTGATTTCGATTTGACTTTAAAAGATTATCTTTTGTAGATATAAAATGATCAAAACAAATTTTCACTGTTTTCATTTATTATTCTCGTATCTTATTAGAATTAATCTCATTTATGGGCAACTAGCTCAAAATAATATTCCAGATTTTTTTGTATGTTCGTTCGAAAAAATGTAATTCTTTATAGTATTTTCTTTTCATATTTCTTTTAAATTGTTTAGTACAATGTTGATTTTTCTGGACCATTATTTGATCAAGCAGTCTATACAATACTATCAGATTTTCCTGTATCAACTCCAATCAATACAGAAGTATTCAAGTTTATTGTTAAACCTCGAACCGATGATAATCAACCTAGTTTTACGCCAAGAAAATATAGTAATTCCATGCGAAATACTACATCGGGATCTATAACAGTAACATTAAATCATCCAAGTTTTAGTGTTATTAATTTAGTAAATGATTCTTATGCTCTTGTTACTAATATATCGTATGTGTGAAAAATGAACTCGTCGACTAATCTATATTTATATGTTGTTGTTTTTTTGTTTTTGTCAATAGTCCTTTGGATTATTTTTCACCTTTTAACCGTTATTTATTTCAAATAATTGCAAAACAAACAATTCCAACTCGACCACCTGTAACTTCAATAGCACAAGTTCAAATCAATCTAGAAAATGACAATGTTCATGATCCTATGTTTATTCCTGAAAATCAAATATTTTATATAAGTGAAACAGCGCCGGTTGGTATTCAATTTGGTACAGTTTATGCTACTGATCTTGATAATGATGAAATTACATATACAATAAATTGTATACAATTTTGTATTGAATCTTCAACAGGTGTTTTACGACTTGAACAGCCATTGGACTCATCGTCACAATCGGAATATTCCCTTACTGTAACAGCAACGGACAGTGGTTCATCATGTTTATTGCGTCCATCGTGTTATAAACGTACGAAATCAATTGATATAATAATTATTGTCACCGTAGTGAATTCAAAATCACCACGATTTTTAAATGAGATATGCGGTAAAAATATATCGTTTGATGAAAATAATAGACAAGGGCAAGATATTGCATCGTTAATTGTATCGGACAGTGATCGAGGAGAAAACGGATTGATTACTATTTTGTTTCCATCTGAACAATTAAGAACAACAGGTAAATGATTGACTGAATGGTTGATCGAAAAATTCATATAGAAGCAAAAATTCTTGTTTTTCTTCTTCTTCAGCCAGTGGCTTAACGAATACAGCTTATTCTCAATTTTATATTGAACAATTGAATCAAACGAGTACAACTCGTATGGCTTTTATTAGAACAAATGAAACATTTGATTTTGATAAACCAGGTATGACAAAGACGAAGAATTTGAAGATTAATCGAATTATTTTATCTGATATTGGATGATGAGAATTTATTTTCACAAAAATAATTAGAATTAGACTATTATTTTTCTTCTAAGAACAAATCAAGGCCAAATCAATTGATGATATTATCTAGAAAACAAATCGTATTCAAACTTTACTTAACTACCTTATTTTTCCTAGGTGCTACTCGAGTTTGGTATTTATTTGTATTAGCTACTGATCATGGTAAACCTCAACGGCAAGGTAAGCATCATATTTTCAGTCTTCATATATTTACACTATTTTTGGTTTTCCAGCATTTTGTAGTTTACGTATTAATTTACACGATTTAAATGATAATGCACCAGGTAAATTACACATGTAACTCAATGAAATCTTTTATTTTTAAGTTTGGATTATTTAGTATTCATTATGACATCGTGGCATTATACAATACATCGTTCATCTATGAATGCAACTCATACACGTCTTTTACGCATAGCAGCGTCGGATGCTGATTCTGGTCTGAATGGAATGATTCATTATTATATTGGAACGCCTAATCTTCCATATTTTTCAATAAATCGTACATCTGGAACAATTACATTTCTTAGTAATGTTGACAATTTAGCTAATTTAAATATTAGCCGTTTTCCAATAACATTTTATGTTTATGCACAAGATCGCGGTACACCACCGCTACTGAGTAAAAATAATGCAACAGTAACAATTCATCTCGATGACAGTGATGAACCTTCAGCAGCCCGATGGCTTGATACGCGTTATGAAGAGTTAAGTATTTCAATAACAGAAAAATTTTATGAAAGTTATACAAATCAACCAATATTTGATTTTGATCAAGGCTTTAACGGATCTATTATGTATGAATTATCGTCACAAACTCCATCGATAATGACTGTCAGTAGTCCATTTTCTGATAATACAAATATACCTTTTCGTGATACACCTCTTATAAGAAATGGACGAATATTTAGTAGTGGTATTACTGTTACTAGGTAAGAATTTAGATTATTTCTATACGACTGATATTTTGTGATCAGTAATTCCTTTAGTATGCGATGTGATTGACTAAGTCAATGATTTCAATATTTTTAGAATATAAAGGCAAATAGTAATTTTCCTACAATAGCTAGTGATTGTATTCTTATAGGAACGGCATAGTGAATTTAGAGAAATACACGCTCATATAGGAAACAAAACCTATCCACTTAGTTTTTACGAGATTAGAATACAAAGCATAATTCAAAGGATGTAAATCGACATGAAAAAATTGAGACGCTACTTTTTAATTTATATAAATATTTATGTTGGATGTGAATATTTGAACTCAAGTTTATATAAATAGAGTAAATTAGGTAGACTAACAATGATGTCTTACGAAATATAAATAAAACTGTGTGTTTGATTTTTCTCAAATATTGTAACTTAGTCGTTAGAGAATATTTGTTTATCGTCTAGTGGTCTTCACGCTGAAATTCAAAATGTTTATTTACTTCATATTCGTGTCCTTGTGAATCCACCATTAATTGGTGCAATAACAATAACGATCAAGGATGAAAACGATCAAATTCCAACATTTGACATTCGTTCAATTGTTCTGAGTGTTATTGAACAGGAAAATGGAAATCGTACAATTGCACAGATTCAAGCAGTTGATCGCGATTTTGATTTTCATAATAGTTATGTTCAATATCGTTTAAATCAACAATTAAGCGATAGTGAAGCTATTGGAAAATTTCATGTCGAATCTGATGGTACAATATGGACAAATACGATATTCGGAAAAGAAACTAATAGAACATTGTATCGATTATTTATTACAGCATATAATGACGTACCAGCATGGAATTCCGTCATACAAAATTCACAAGATTTTCAATTCGATATACAAGTTATAAGTATTAATGATAAGCAGCCAAGTAACTTTTATTGAGGGGTCGAAAATCAAGGAGACACTCTGATTTTTTTAATTTTAGTTTTTAACAATGGATCAACAGCAATAAACGTTTTTATTAATGAAACAACAGCCATTGGAACTAATATCCTTAATTTAACAATAACTGATTTAGATATAAATACAAATCTAAATTTAGGAATATTAAATGGAAATATTCGAAATACTTTTATCTTTACGTTGTTTGCCGATAATTCAGCAAATTCAATGCGTACACAATATGAAGCTATAGGACAACTAAAACTTATTGCTCCATTAGATTTTGAATTACTACCAGATTATAGATTGATTTTATTTGCATTCGATACTAAAAATATAGCAACAATAAATGTAACAGTTAATTTGTTTCCACAAAATACAAAAGCACCTTATTTCGATTTAATGCCTGGTTACACATCCTATCAATATGAAGTAGTTGACGAAACTTCATATCCAAAACTCGATGGACAAATTGTAAGTTATTGTATAAGGTTTAGATAGTTTGAAAATATTTTCTTATAAGTGATCTGCGCGACCAATTTCTAGAGTTTCTACTTAATCTTACAATGGTGAAATGTGAGAAATCAATTTATCTGTGATGAGTTATGCTCGATTTTTATGAAACGAAATTTCCTAGAAATCCAGCTTTTCAATCTCTCGAACTACTAAAGGAGCATCTGTTGATCTAGACTATTGAATGTTTTGCATATATTAAAACGAAAAAATAATTGGTCTTTTCGTTATACAATTTACTGATAATTGAAAAGGCTTAGTCGCCGGTTTTTTTCTACCATGCATATCATTAGTACACGAAAAGATTCAGCAAATTATTCATAATTCACTTCTAGAACTATAAAATATATTTTTTTTCCTCGCATAGATTCAAGCAATTGATACTGACAATCCAAAATCACTTCTTCATTATGAAATCTATGATAATAAGCATCCTTCAACTCTAAATAATTTGTTTCTACACGAAATAAATAACCAAATTACAATTGGCATCAATTCACATGGTCTGTCTCGTGATCTTCCATTTGGTAATTCTATATACAATTTTGCAATACGCGTTACTGATGAAGATAGATCAGGTGTATCAAGTTATGTACCAGTTAGCATAAAAGTAATTGATAAGAATAACAAAGCACCAATACCGACGGTAACAAGTTTTTTAGAATCGTTTGTTTATTTTTTTTGTTTTGTTTTGTTTGATTCAGAATTCTCCGTGGATTATGAAAGAAGGTATCAATTCAAGTATCGACATGATTTTTCAAGATTATGACGACCCAGAAGAAAATAATACTATTCCTTACAGAGTTGACATTGTTAATCCATCGAATTTTAAACTTATTGGTTCAACAATGAAATCTAAAGTGTCCTATAAATTGTTATATAATGGTATTTTAAATCGTACATTGACAAAAAATTTAACTGTGACATTCAATGCAAGTGATAATAAAGGTGTCAATAGAATAACATCGATTTCAATTGTTATTAGCGATGATTTCAATGCATATCCAATATCGAATGGTTCGAAAACGATTAAAGTTGTCTATGTAAATAGTTATCAAAATTCATTACGCAATATTGATCTTGGTTCGGTTTATGTTAATGATTTAAATGATTGGTATCGAGCTGATAGATTTTATTCAATAAGACATGTTAGTCGTGGACAAATATTTAATGTTTCAAACGGTATTTTAAGTGCAGCAGAAACATTAGAGCCAGGCTCGTATACCGTTGATGTTGATGTTACAAAACCCAATATTGAATCATCGGCTTCAAGTAGAATTCAACTTGATGTTGAAGCAATTAATAGTGAACATGTTCGACAAGCATCAACAATTCGTATTCAGGGTAAATAATATATTAATTAATTTTAAAAATCTACCATATTTTGTCGCCGTATTTTTCAGGTGAATATCCTGAGACATTAATTGATCCGACACTCGGCTATCCTCTTGACAGACTTCTTAATGCACTGGCATCATTCTTATTTGTGAATATTCATTCAATAAAAATACTTGCAATACGCCGCGTGTTTCAATATCGAAATCCATATGATCTACCAAAACCTTTCGAACTTGATAAAAACGAAACATTGACTGATGTCATTTTTTATGTACCGGCTTTCAATCAGTTTGAAGTTGAACATATACTAAATGCAAATCTTGATTTATTTCAATCACGTTTTAAAATCAAAGCTGTAGCTAGTGGACCGAACCCGTGTAACAATTATCTTTGCCCTAGAGGTAAAATATGCTGTTCTTTTCTTTGTAAATCGCTACCTAGAAAAAAATACTAGGAAAAGTTTCTTATCTATTCAATAGAGTTTTAAAATTGTGCGAGTTTATCGTAAACAAGTACATTAGTCAGCGATGAGTATTTAGTTAAATCATCTTTTTCAAAGATTTTAATGAGTTAAAAATTTATCAAAAATCACTTTTTTTCCAAGGTACAAGTTGTCGCCCAACAAGAACCATTGGAGCAATGCCTTTCACTGTTGATACAAATTTAACATCTTTTGTTGGTATTAATATTCTTGATTCAGCTGATTGTTTAAATTCTACGTATACTGTTGATTTAACAAATAAACCCAATGAATGTGTCACAACTACATTTAATAATTTAACATATTGTTCATCGATTTCATTATTATCATATGGTCCAATAGGGCCATGCTGTGAAATACTTGGACGAACATTTGATGAGAATTCAGGTGGATATGCAAGCTACGCTGGTACAAAATTTTCCAATATTGCTCCGGCACGTTTTTCGTTTGATTTTATTGTACGATCACAAATAGTTGATAGTTTAATTTTATTATATGGAAGAAATTCATCACGAGCGGATGATTTTTTTTGGATAGCCATTGAAATTTATCAAGAAAAATTGAAATTTCATTTTCAAAATCAAATGCTCGATGCAGATAGACCTATATTGAATTCATCGATATGGTATCATGTGGAATGTCAGGTTGGTTGTTTTCTACACGAAATAAATCAATATTTTATTTAATTGATTTTTTCTTTTCAGTTCGTTGATTCGACAGTTCTTGTATCAATTAATGATCAACAGTATTACTTCGAATTAAATAATAATAATAATTCAAATGTATATGATCTGTCAACGGTCGAATTATATCTTGGTGGTTTGCCTACGATAGATCCGCCCACAGCAAGTCTTTATCCATCATTAACATCAACAAATACATTTAAAGGTTGTATACGAAATGTTTTATCCAATGGTTATTATCTTGATATGTCTAAAACATTGTCATCAACTAATTCGAATTATGGTCAATGTCCATGTTCTATTACAAATTCATGTGTTACAAGAAATCGTCTTACAGATATCATTATTCCTTGGTATACGTGGCTAACTTTTATACTTGTTTTATTACTATTAGCAACAATGTTATCAATAGCTTTATTGATATTTATAAGAAAAAGAATACAACTAAAAACACCAATCAGATTATGTCCAAATGATACCAGAGATAATATAATTCATGATAAGTAAGAAAGACGCTCAATATAAAATATCTATAAATCTAAATAGAAACTTGAATATATATGAAATTGGCTTTGCTAGAATTGAGTTCATTTGAATGATTGATTAATCTAAGTTGTTCTTATCTAGAAAATTTAGGTGATTGAATGCACCGAAAGCCAATGTCAATGCTTGCATTAATATCAATAAATATGTAATCTATGCTAATTAATATCTTTGAATAAAAAGAACCTTGCGAGTAGATAACTTGATTATAGCCAGTGAATTACTTGTCGGATCTTGATCAATATGCCTTATATTCCACCATGAATCTTTACATATCGAAGTTAATGCCAAGTAGCAAAAAAAAGAAAAACAAGATGATAGAAAAGAATGCTTTTAGATATAAAAATATTATCAATTATCGATGTAACTATTTCTTTCTTATTTTAATATCTTTCATATGTAACTTATCAATTAATATCGTGCTTCTTTTCTTTCTCTCTAGACAACCTGATGGAGAAGAAGATCACTCGAGTTATGACCTTCATGTATTAAAAAAACCGGTACATACATTGTCAGACAGTAACAGTATATTTAATAATCACCTGTCAAGTATGAATAATCGAAATAAATAAATATTTGAATAGTATGCATTTTATGTCTGTTTTGTTGAAGATGATTCTGATTCAAGGATTTATTATCAACCATCACTTGGTATTTATATTCAACAAAAAATGAATGATCAAACTGTATCTTATGCTAATGATACACAATTACGATATCAATATGAAGGTGACGGCTCAATAGCATCAAATTTAAGTTCTATTGAATCGGCATCAGTACTTGATTATAATAATTATAGTTTTTTCTGTTCTTTCGAGCCAAAACGTTGACTTAGCAGTTTTCTAAACTGATCGTATGCATAATAATAATAATAATATTTGTACTAGAGGATTTTCGAACTTTTTTTTGTAACGAAAATTACATATAAATGTGATTCATTCGTGTTCTATTAGTCACGAATAATTTTGTATTTCGTTTCGTTGTATGTATATATTTGTTTAATGTCTACAGCTGCATGAAAGAACACAAACCACCAAGAAGAAAAAAGAAACAAGAAGGAAGAAATAAAATACATTCAACGAATAATTTTTATCTGATCGTAAACTATGGGAATATAATAAAAAAATAAAGTTAAATTTTCTTCTTCTAGTAGCCAAATGTTGGAATGAGAGTTGATACTCGTTTTTGAATAAATTTATATTCGGGATACTTTCTAAATAAACGTTCTTCAGTCATTGGTATCGAGCCAAAATACATCATTAAATTAATGAGTAATGGACCAAGTGCACACCAAAAGGGCGCATTATAATAGTAACCAAGAAAAAATAGACCCCACCAAAATATTATTTCACCGAGATAATTTGGATGACGACTATATTTCCAAAGACCGGCTGATAAAACAGAAAATCGTTGTTCCTTTGATTTTTGTTTATAAAGTCGAAATGTTGATAATTGATTATCAGCAATATTTTCCAATAGAACACCGGAAAAAATAATTAACAATAATAAAATATCCATCATCGTTAAATTTCCATATACATGAGTATTAGTATAGATGTAATAGATCGATGATGAACCGATTAAGACTTCAAGCATGGGTAATAAATGTAAAAAGAAAAATGCAAATAAATAAAAATTGTTTTCATATTTTCTTCTCATCAATTGATAACGCCAATCTTCATGATGAATATTATCTGATGAAAATAATGTTTGCCACACTAAATGTGATGACCATATACATATAAAAATAATAAGTGAAAGACGTTTAAATGAAAAAGGTTCAAGTGAATTCAATGTAAAATTGAAGTATATAGAACATATCAATGGAATCAGAGGCCAATGAAGGTCATAAATATTGTTTGATGAAAAAACATAATTACCAATAAAAAATAGAATACATGTAATACAGAAGTCAATAACATAAACCCGATATAATGGTGATGAAATCGATGGAAGTAAGATAAAGTGTAAAATAATTGATAATAAAAATGAGAAAGAATAAATCATCAAATAAACAATTACAGGAGACGATGGTAATTTCATATTTCTTCAACAAGACACAAACAAACGCACAATAAAATAAAATATAAGGATCAAAATAGCAGTTTATATGAGGCGTGCACGTCTGTGCATGTCACAGCACGAAGCTGCTTTTAACTTTCACGATGAAGTAAAAAAAATAAATAAGCAAATGTGACGATAATAACAAAACTAAAAAAGAACGATAGAGAAGAAAGAAAAAAAATTACACGATTCGTTGTTTCTTTTATTCGTCAATAACAACGAAGGTTCACCGTAGCAACGCTTAAGTTACGAGCACGGCATTAGTGTATTACCATTCATAAAGTAAAAGGATTGAAGAATTACGGAAAATTTTTCTACAATGGATTCTGATGATCGAACTGATAGTTTTCGTCAATCTCATACCATGGATCAAACATTGACTGCTCCATTAAATAATACGACTGATTTTCTTGTAATTATTATGAATAATTAAACTTAAATTAATAATTTTATTTTATTTTTATTTTTATTTTGCTTTAGGGAGCAGGAAATGACCTTGGTCAAACGACAGTCAGTGCCGAGCTTATGTTAGATGAAAGTGCTCGAGAATGTAAGTTATTCATTTTTGATATTGAAAATTTTTTTTGGCTTTTTTCTCTTTCTTTACATAATTATTAGCATTTATTTTATTATAAGAACAAATATAAGAACTATCAAGATAAACAAAATGTGAAATATTGCAGCTGTCGAAGCTAAATTTGCCTCTTCATGGCATAAAGGCATTATTGAGATAATGCATGCAAATATAGACAGATGTTATTCTAAACTATTCGAATGCATTTATAATGTCTAGAAATCTGATTCGAATATTTATATTAACCAAGATAGAATTCCAAAATACTGCACAGTTCGAATAACTAAAAGAATTATAACAATTCACATTGATATGAAAAAAAAAATATATATATATATATACATATTCTTAACATCATCATAGCAAAAATAGAACGTATAAAAATATATTCTAACAAAGGCACCTTTTCATTTTCTTGTTTTTTCTTATTTTGCAAATATTTTAATCTCTGTGATAATAGAAAATGTTTTCTTTGCATTTCATAATATCTATTGTTTTATTGATTCTAGTACTTAAAGTTGGTTTTAAAAAATTGGCTAAAAAAAATGATTATATTCGTATAGAAGATGTCGGTGATGCTTTTCGTCATTCTGGTCAAAATCCAACCGAGGATGTTATTAAAGATTTGACTGAAAAAGCGAAAGCAATTAAAATTAGAGTTCCTCAAGAAGATGAAGACGAGGATGGTACGTAAATAGGCAATAGTCTATAAATGAATCCTTAAAACTTCAAATATAACAAAAATAGTTTAAATATATTTGTTTTTCTTTCATTCAATATTTGTTGATTATATTTGAATTCCTATAAAGAAGAATTAATAATAACAAAGTCTCCATTTTATTTATCTTGACACAGATATAAAACCATCAGATGATCATTTATCATTTGCTGATTTTCTGACAGCTGTTCATGAATACTGGATACCACTTGAAAATGATAAACAACAATTACAAGAAGCATTTGAAACTCTTGACCCACAAAATAAATCAAAACTGATGGTTGATGAATTTGTATATTTACTGAAAAGTTGCGATTGGACAGACGAAGATATTGAACTAATTCTATCGCAAGTTAGCTGTGCTGATGGCTATTTTCTTTATGATGGTAACAAAATAATTGTTCATTACCTTTCATTCTAAATATTAACTTTTCTTTTTCTTTTTTTTTTTGAATATAGATTTACAAAGAATTCTTCTAACACCCGTTGAATTACAGAAGAAAAAATCGGGAAAATCAAAAAAGAAAAAATAAAGCATATTTATTTTTCTATTTGTATAAATATTCTTTCTAATTTTTCTACGAAGATATACGTATTTATCTAAATTGATTCGCTCTTTTTTTTTGCTGTAATTATGGTATTTTCTTTGTCTTTGTAATACTAATCGAGGGATTTTGCAGTTCTTCATTGATTCTCATCAATTATAACAGCAGATTTTTTCTTCTTATTTTTCTTCTGGTACATTTGCTCTCTAGCCATTACAGATTTTTTTACCAGTCGTTCCTGTCCTTGTCGTTAGTCGCCTCAAAGAAGCGTATAACCGAAGAAGTCAATATTAATAGAAAACATCTGACGGTCTTGTGCGAACTGTTTTACAAGACAGTATTCTGTCATACAGATATACAGAAAAGGAACGTTTGCTTTTTATCCAACAAGATGATTTGTACTGAAGTAACAACGATTAGAACATTTCCTATTTCTTGCCCATAAGAATATTGTTCCTTTTCTTCTTGCCTTCAAGTCATATATGGAAAAGAATTGTCAGTCGGATGGCAACGTTAATACTTCTCTATATTTATATATCTATACACATATAAATATATATTTTCTTATGCACTCCAAGACTTGATAGTAATATATAATAATGAATAATTGTACCCTGGATCTCATTCGTTACTGCACGATGTACAGCTGCTTTTAACTGAAATCAATATGAAATGTAATAATACATTCAAATAAACGAAATTATCTGTCTATCATAAATTTTGAAGTGTACATTGGAGACAAAGGTGAAGTGACGTTTTTTAGATGATAGACGACGTTAAACAGAAAAGGTTTTTTTTATAAAGACTCAAAAAACAAGCACAATAATCGCAAGGATATTAGCAACTAGTTGTCTTTTGTATAATTGATGCATTTTTGCCTATGTATGCATGCACGATTTGTCTTCCGGTGTTTTCTTTTGTATTTCGTTTTAACCCTTTTTGTTTTTTCTTGTATGTTTTTTTTGCATATTCTTCGTTGGTGCTCTCATGTCGACCTGTAAGTTGTTTTTTGTTGCTGGTGCGGTCACAGACAGCGAATAAGCAAAAAGCGAAGCGACAGAGTAACTGTGAAAAAAAAACACAAAACGTACCGGGAGAAAGAGAAACAGCGATATGAAAAAAAAGAAGAAAGAGAGAAAAACTGAAATGTGTTTGGTATCTGTACAGGAAAAAAAAGAACCTCTTCCTTTCTCTCGCTTTGTCTGTCTTTCATTCGTTCTCCGTCTTTTCTTTTTGCGTTGTCGAATACTAGTTTCGCCGGGTGTTTTGCTCTCTGGCTCTTTCTCTCTCTCTCTCTCTCTCGCTGTCGCTCTCTTTCTTCTTTCTTGTGGTAGCCCTGTTGTGGTTGTTTTCTTTTTTTTCCCTCTCTCTTGCTCTCTTGTTCGACCAAATTTGTGTCCTATCTTGTTGGTTTTGAAAGCGTTGGTGTGTTTTATCGAATCTCCCATGGCTTTCAACGACCGAAAGAAGTCACCACAGCAGCCTTCTTTTGATCAGTTTTTGTTACGTTTTATCTGTCACACTCATCACGGCGACCAATCGGAACGCCTTTAATTTTCTGAGTGAGCCCGTGTGCTTGAGATGCATTTCGATATCTTTATGGTTTTCGCCGCTATTGCTACTACTGTCCTTTGCTCGTTAGCGTCATCATTGTCAAACTCGATCATTAATCAAGATAGTTCAATAATAACAACAAGTGAGTATTATTCTTTACTAAATTGAATTATTTCGATAGGGCTTAGGAGGAAGCATTACTATTTATTCTTATTGATTTAGTCCCATATTATTTCGTAATATTTATATTTATATTTATATATCTATGTAGCTGCATGTGAAGTGAAGTCAGCTTTGAGAGACAGTATGCTATAAGGTGATATAATGATGTAATTCGATCTTCGATCTGTATCAATTTAGTAATTATTTTGTGTTTTCCTTCTTCACCTTTCTTTCGTCTTTTTTTGTTCTATTACTGCTGGTTTGCGATTAAATCTGATATGCATATATAGATATATATATACATACATACATTATATATATATATACATGAATCAGCAGGACAGGCAACCTTGAAAGAAGCTGAGAGAGTTTGGTAACGATATGTCACCATTTTTATTACTGGACATTATTTTGCTTCTGTTATTTTTTTCTCCTGGTGAGAGGTGTTATATCGTGATGATGCTGTCTTGGAGAGGGAAAGCGACATCAGAATAAACGGTGCTTAATGACACTCGTTCGGGTGCAACAACAACAACAGCATGATTAGTCTTTTGAAGGGTAGAAAGAAAATCTTATATATGAATTCTGTCATTGAAAATTGCCAGGTAGCTACTGTAGTTATGTTGTTTCAAGTGAAGGAGTAAGCGTGAGGATCGTATACCAAAAAAAGAAAAAGAAAAAGAAAATATATTTATTTTTTCTTTTTTGTTTATCTATACACTGAATATACACATTGATCAATCGATCGATCAAAGCAACTGCTTTTGGCCTGGATTTTGGTGATTGACGTACAAACCGCAATCGATTGATGTGTCAAAAACTCGCTAGATTGCGATAGGAAAGAGAAGAAGAAAGCTTACCACATAGATGCATACGTAAATATGTAACGTTCTTCTCCTATAACGTTTAATCTTAATCAAGATTATGTCACCTTGATAAGACATATTCACATCATATTTTGGAAGAACTCGGATTCTCTTCAGGGAGAACATGCGTTTGGTTGATTTTGATTGATTTCTACTAACTTAATAATCGAGATTTTTTGTTGTACTTAATAATAATATAGAAGAGATAATGAAAAAAAAAAACTATTTCAAAGAATAAGGTTCCCATAAAAATAAAAAACCGATTCTCGAGCATTCGAACGTCTCGACATTTAGCTTATTTGTCTGTTATCTTCTAAGACAATGGCTTTTTGGTATGCTTACATACACATACACGCACACTTTCCCTCGACAAAATGAGTGTCAGCATGAAGGCTATTGCTAAGTAGATAGGATAAACTCTTGTTGTCTGGAATGACAAACAGGATAAAACCTTGCCATCAATGTTGTTGGCTATTGTATGCAAAAGTCGATTCACATTATTAAAAAGAAAAGAAAAGAAAGTCTTCGATCCTTTCGATCAATGCTATAGAATCAATTATAACGATGTCAGTTTACTTGTATTATGTAATAGAATGCATACACAACCACTTGATAAGAGACGTGTCTATGAGTATATGTAAATGTGTATCTATGAATTCTCATTGCTTGCCTTACATATTCACATGAATGCTCATAAAAAGTGATTTTCATCTTCAGGGACGAACTCCTCAGGTGCTTTGATCAGCTTCCGTTTTATGTATTTACGTTTTCTTTTTCTTTTATTAAAGGTGTTTGTGTTCTTTTCTTTTCTAAGGCTTTTTTACTTTAAATAGTCAATAAATATGTTCATACGTGTGCATCGACTGTACAATTTTCAATGACCTCAAAACGAAATAAATGTCTTTTTTTTCACATGTGTGCGTGTGCTTGATAGTCATATGAGACGTTACCACAAACCCACATTACGCCTAGAAATAGACGGTTTCGAGTGGCAAAATGTATCTTACACATACACACACGCTTTCTCTCACTTTCACTTTTTTCTTCCTATTTTACACAAAGGTCGTATAAATCTAAGTTGCATCTGTCTCCAAAAAAAAATGCTACACTTGACGGCAACCTTCAAGGGGAAGTGTTTGCGATTGCTGTCCCCGAGATAACATATGTACACATTTGACAAACACATACGTTATTACGTTGCATATAAAATAAAAAATAAAAAAGAGTCTATTAGCTAACTGTAAAGCACGAAAAAAACAAGAGATGACCTTTGCTCGATACACAGAAACGTTTTTAGAGCAGATAAAAAATTCAGTCTGTTTATTTTCACCATATTTCTTTCTTCTTTTTTCTTTTGAGTTATTTTTTTTATGAAACAGAACACTTGCTCCGAAAGATAACAAACGACTGATCTTTGCAGGCAGAAGGCAGTCGCTATTCGACATGCTATTGCAAAGGTTCGCACGATACAAATAAATAATCATTAGAGATCTGTAAGATAGACGTCGAGGCATCGTTACCGCTAGTATTACCAATAGAACAGATAATTGCCTAGAAATCAATTCATAAAAAATATCGTCTTTCATGCTTTTAATCCTTCTATTCGATAATGACATATAAAATATCGAAGGACACATCCAAGTGCACCTTTTTTGTTCTAATAAACTGTATATATATATGTATACATATGTCTGTGTATACATTGTATTTATTTATTGTCAATATGATTCATATTTGAAAAGAAAACAGTTTTACATTCATGTCTTTTAACTATCTGCAACAAATATCTTAACGATCATACATATGTAAATATACAGAGAAGCAGTCGTTTTTTTCCTCATCAACAACATTAATGATGAAAAGAGAATGATTCAACAGGACTTATGCGCAAGCGGACGCAATCAGGCGAAATAAAAGAAAACATCACATATACATATACTTCGAACAACGAGAAGAAATATTGTATAAAAATGTGTACTCACATATTTTAGGACAAGGTTAAATATGATTAATGATCATCGTTGCGAATGTACATTTATCTCCCTATTCTAATGAAACACTAACATCCAAAATTTGTTAACACGCTAGAATATCTATGCAGATATATGGATATATATGTATATAAATATAAACAAACCAAATAAGCATTATTGATCGACCTCTCATGTTGATGTATTATATCAAAAGAATTTATTTAGATAAAATTAAAAATAGAAGTATCTCTATGGAAGAAAATCTCACGGCATTTCAGAATGCAAAAATTGTTTTGTTGTTGTTGTTGTTGTTGTTGTTGTTTCATTTACCAATTGATGATCGGAACAATCGATTAATTCTCCGGAAAAATAACAAATTAAATTATTTGATTTTTCTTTAGACGTGGTCGAGCAAGAACAGTTCACCTATGAAATTGTCATTCCCCGATCGTTACGATTATCAAGATCATTTTCATTCGTACCTGACTGGAAAACTCGATTAAGAGATAACGATCAAACAAGTCTTACCTCAGCTATTCGTCGCCATAAGCGTTCATCAGAAACATTTACTATTGATCAAAATAATAAGACAGTATATTATCGTATTCATGGCTTTAATCGAACATTTGATTTAAGTTTAGTTGAAGACGAAACTTTTCTAGCACCATCTTTTATTACACAATATTTTGATCATGATCGTACTTGGACAACCAAAGATATTGAACATTGCTTCTATAAGGGTTATGTCAATCGAAATCCTTTATCATCTGCATCAATTAGTTTATGTCATGGCTTGGTATGTATCATTCTATTGATAATAAAAGCATATGTGAGATAATATTGTTGCTAAAAACAAAAATATTGTTTTTTATCAATCAATGCATAAATTATTCCATACTGACAGACATGATAGTAGACAAGATGTTGACAATATTTCATTCTCTATTCTCATTGAAAGAAGATGATTTATTGATTCTATCAGAGTATACATTAAATTTTAAAATAGGAATCTTGTTTACTAGCAAGAAGACGGAAAAAATCTCGAACAATCTGTAATAGTATTTTCGTAGATGACGTTTTTGAATGATGTTATTCTAAACTTTACAAATAAAAATGCTTGCATAAGAAACCCCAAAAAGTATCTTCTTTCTAGGATAAATATTACGAAACCATTTAAATATGTCTAAAGGCTTGATAAGGGTTCGTATAAAAAGGAGTGTTTTTTTTCCTGAATAGAAAAGGAAACATACAATAATACTTATTCAAGGTTTCTCTTCTACAAAAATATTACTTATCAATAGTACATAAAAACTACTTAATGATTTCTTTTAAAACTACTTTTAGTTGGGCACATTTTTGTATAAGGATACAGAATATTTTATTGAACCAAAACATCACGAGAATGATACTCAATGGAATTTCGAACATCTATTTTATACACATAAAGATTCGATATTATCATCGAACGATGATAATCAAACAGTACGATGTCCTGTTACTGGTAAATAATCAGTTGTTGATCGATGTGAATCTATTTGAAATATTTCTATGTAGGTGAACCATATTTTGAAAAATATCAAGCCTATCCTCATTACCATCGATCCTCAAAACAACGATTGCGACGATATAAAAATAAAGCCTCTTCCAAAAATTTTTCTTCCAAATCTTCCTTTGCAAATCCCTCGATTAATAATTTATTAAATGATTCTACTCATAAGAATAATAATCATCATGTAAAACGCCGAGCTAAACGTCAATTTGATTTCGATCCTATGGCTAAACATGTTGAAGTACTTGTTGCTTATGATCAATCAATAAAAGAATTCCATTCAGATGCTGATATCAAATCATACATTCTCACACTTTTTAGCTATGTAAGTTTTTCTTTTTTAGTTAAAATAAAACTTATTAATATTAAAAATCTTTTCAATTAAGGTGTCACATCTATATTCTGATGCAAGCATTGGTAATAATATCAAAATATGGCTTGTTAAATTAGTCGATTTAGGACCAGATATTACTGTAAGAATATTTTGATATATCAATAATATTTTTATTTATTTATTTATATCTCTTAATTAGGAATACATCAAATCTAGTGATGATGCAGCTGATATATTAGGTAGATTTTGTAAATGGCAAAAAGATTATAATACTCCGGGTACATACGATGCAGCTGTTCTTCTTACAAGGTGCGTTTTTCATGACAGAAAACAAAATGTCTTTCTAATTATTATTTTTCATTTTTTTCTCATTAGAACACCTTTATGCAATAAACGCTCTAAAAATGTAACTGATAGCAAATGTGACACATTAGGATTAACTGAATTAGGTACAATGTGTAATTTTACATCGAACTGTGCTGTTGTACGTGATAATGGATTTGCTACTGCGTTTACTATTGCTCATGAAATTGCTCATTTGTAAGTGAAATAAATGTGGAAACTTCGGATTTCATCCGAGAGTTATGTGTACTGCAAAAAGTGCATGGAACATAGGAGTCATTCTAGAATGTCTGAACACTAAAATTATCATGAGAAACTAGGCAATTTGATTTCTGGATACAGTTTTTGTGCATTTTGAGACGTTTTCAGGCGATGTTTCGTTAGAAAGCTACGATTTAGTTCAAAACTAATATCAGATTCGGAATCAGCGTTAAAAACTGAGTCGATTTATATATGTTGTCAATAATTCTGAGAAAAATTTGTTTTTTGAAAAACAAATCCCTGTACCCCTCCTCAGGGACGGTCTGGTCAAAAATGACAATTTTTTCGATAACTCAACCATTTCTTGAGGAATCCTTCTCATCTTCGAACTCGACCGAGATATTCATGAGATTGAACTGTGTGGAAAATTTCATCACGATCTGACTCTCCTTTCAAAAGTTATCGAGCCTACGGACGGCCAGCCGGTCGACCGGACACACTGACCGATTCTAGAGTGTACTCACTTTTTGAGTACGCAAAAAGAGAAAAAATATTTGTTTTTCTATTCAAATTAATCTTCTTTATATTGATTTAGATTCGGTATTCGACATGATAATGATAAAGCATGTCTAGATCATACTACAGAACAAAATATTATGGCTACTTCGTTAACATTTAATCATAATCATTATAAATGGTCAAATTGCAGTCGTCATTATTTTAATCAATATTTAGAGTACGTTTTCAAATCTTCCTACATTTCATCAGATAGCGAGAGCGAAAGAAATAGAAAAAAACAAATATCAATTTGTGATTTATATTTGATTGGCTGACGAGGAAAATTCTCCAGAGATGCTCTTTTCTGATTTTGATCATTTCCTTTCTATCTATAAATATTATTTGGTATTCTAATTAATATTCCCTAAAGAAATCATTTCATACGGATATTTCAGAGAGGGTTATTGAATTTTTAAGATGTTTATGTGTTAGAAACATTTGTAAAATATTCAAACCTTGGAAAATTTTACCTTGACACTACTTCGATCTCTAGTTCTAATAGAGTCTAGCTTATATACCGAGTTTCAATATTCGACATTACCATATCTTGTAGTTTCAAGATATGGATGCATTCTTTGGATTTAGCCGAGTTCCCATCTAAAATCCAATCATACAAGAAGTAAAAATCAAATTTTGCACATCTCTGCTATGAACTATATTAAACAACAAAGACTTTTTAAGACTACTCTAAAGAATCACGAAAGTATTTAGAGAAGTGCATAGCTTCAAAATAAGAAGTCTTCATAAAATCTATGATATATGACATTTCTAGATGAAAATAGTTTTAAGACAAACATTTCAGATTACTGTTTAACAATAATAATAATAAAAAACTCTTTATAAATAAATTACATACGTTCAACGAAGCTGATTTCATACACTTATCATAAATAAATAAAATGTGAAGCCAAACAAATTTTTGAAAAAAAAATACATATTCACTCTGCCTGCATGAAGCATAGATGTTCTTAAAGAAAAATAAAACTAATGACAAATCTATAGGGCTATAGTCAAACGTCTAATATGTTTTACAAACTAGTAGCACTTTTTCGATTATGCATCGTGGATCTATTGAAAGACCTTCATTGTAGCCTACAGCTTTTGCTTTGTTTAGAATAAAATGTGACGCCACAGAACATAAAATGATGCCTTATTTGAGTTATGCTATTTTGCTGTTAAATTGAAGTGTACTATTAGAACAAGAGAGTAAATTTTATTTTTGGCAATTTTTTTTATTATATGGACCCTTTCAACGCTTTTCTTGATTTAAATAAATTAAGAATTAAATGAAAATGCTCGGATATGCTCTTTTAAACAAAAACAAAAACGAAAACTAAACTAAACTGTTGGCCACATTTGACTTAGTAGCTCTCGAAAATGTTACTAATAGTATAAGACTGAAAATAGTAACTTGTTGATTTCTCTAGAGTTAAATAGTATCCTTAACATTTTATGCGATTTCTAAAGCGGTGAGGAGATCTAAAATTGACTCCTATACTAAAATAAACTATTCATCATTGAGTTATCGTCTTGCTGTTTTCCATGAAAATCTATGATCAGCTGAGCAACGTAAATTTTGCTTATGCCAACTGAAAAAATACGACTTTAATGTTCTAAGTATAATTTAGTAAAGAAAAAGATCGAAACGCTGACTGAATTCAGACATTCTAATAAAAAATAAAAACTTTCCAAACCTGAGTTTGATCGAATCTTGTAAGGTTTCTATCACGATCGTCCGCACACGTAAGTTAAGAAACGTGCATATGACTGCATAGATGCTATAGATTGTGGTAGTCTGTTGAAAAAATAGTGTCGGAGCTCGAAGTGCTTGATGTATATCCACTATCGCTATTATCTATCACAATGATAAGTAACAGTGGCTTAAAAATTTCATGTTGAAAACCTCTGACATGACAAGGACAAAGATTATTTTTTGTTTCACTTTTATATTCCTGTCTAATGCGTTATCAATAGACGCAAGTTTCTAAATCTAATATTTATTTTTATTTCAAGGTCTGATCGATATCGATGTTTAAATAATATACCTGACTATAAATCAGAATCATTCGAGCGTTTGAATAATGAACAAACAGCCCGTGAATTGCCTGGTCGTTTTAGTGATCTCAATGATCAATGTCGTCGAGCATTTGGTGTTAATTTCGAATACTGTCAAGTTTTAATGCACGGAGTAACTATCAATTATATTCTCATTTTCAACTATTATTGAACAAATTATTCTATTCTAGCCAAAATGTAATCGTCTTTATTGTCGAGAAATGTCCTCAAATTCATCATCATGCATAACTAATCATGCGCATTGGTCTGATGGAACCTTATGTTCTGAACCAAGGACAGAAACGAAAGTAAGAAGCAAACCATAACATACCTTAATGACCATTATTCTGTCTTGGTTCTTGTGATTGATAATCAAATCGATTTATGTTGAGTCGTTTCATGCACACTTCAATATAATGAATAATATGCATTTCTATTTGATTTGTTGGTGCACAGACGTATACTATTTTTTTTGACAAGGCCAAAAAAATATGCAGAAAAACAAGACGCTTTATGATACCTCAAGGACTTCAAATAGAATTGATCATAACATTAATAATTATTTATGGATACTATTTTTTTAGCGCTGTGTTCGTGGACAATGTCGAAGCACTCAAGATCTTCAAGTAATAAATGGAAATTGGGGTGAATGGTCATCATGGTCACCATGCACACGAACATGTGGTAGTGCCGTACAAAAATCACAACGTTTTTGTGACAATCCAAGGTAATTGAATCTTATTTTAATGGTTCTTCAATTTCAATGAATTTCATTTTGATTTCGAAGGCCAGAAAATGGTGGTCAATATTGTTCGGGTCAATCGACACGAATACGATCATGTGAAAATAATCCAGTAAATAACATTTGTTTGTCTCGAGCTTATTTCGCTAACGTTTCTTTTTCTCTCAATTTTCTTTAGCCTTGTAAAGATCCTGTTGATATGTTTCGTCAGCGCCAATGCTCTATCTTTAATAATCGCACTATTGACCCATTGCTACCAGTTGGTGTACGATTTGAGCCAAAATACAATGGTAAGTTGAAAAATAATAATAAACTGACTGGCAAACTTAAGTATTAGAATTTTTTCGAGAAATAATCAAGTCATATGTTAGTCAATGGTTGCTTTGTGCTTCTTTTTCGCTTTTACCTGACTTGTTTTTTTCTCGTATATAATAATCGTTGTTGCTGGCATCGAAATGTTTTTCGAATATATGAAAATATTTTCTGTGAGAGACTTTAATGTCAAGAGAATGCAGAATGGAAGAAAACGAACTAATCATCTTTTGTTACTTGACATACAAGTTTCTCTAGGTTTTGAGTGCATTTATTTTATTTTATTTTATTTTTCGCTTCTTTCAATCTAGTATTACCAAGTGAAAGATGCAAATTAATTTGTAAAGTATCGGATGATCGGCTCGAACGATCTTTTGTTCTTGGCGATCGTGTTGAAGATGGAACCCCGTGTGGACGCGAAGATGAAACAAGAGATATTTGTATTAGTGGCGTTTGCATGCCTATTGGTTGCGATCATAAATACGCATCAAATGCTACCGAAGATGTTTGCGGTGTATGCAATGGTCAAAATCGAACATGCAAACCAACTAATGGACGAAAAATGGTTTCAGATTTTGGTTTGTGATAGATCTTTTTCATTGCCTTTTGTTAGAAGTTATCAGCAATTTTATTTTATTGTTAGGCATAACAAATATTATTGATATACCTATTAACACAACACGTGTAATTGTCACACAAATATCATCAGGCAATGATCGTTATTATTTAGGTAAACAAATGATTAGCTTTAAGTTTTGGTGATAATCTGTTACTTTTTTCCTAGCTGTAAAACATATCAATGGAACATATGTTCTTAATGGAATGCATAGCCTTCAATTATATAATGTTAAAATTCGTATTGGCGGTGCAACACTTTTTTATACGGGATCTGACTCGGGCAACGAAACAGTTCTAATAACTGGCCATCTTAAAGTTCCATTAGAAATTCAAGTCATATCAATTTATCAGGCTGGTGCACCAGCTACTTTAGTTATATGGGAATATTATTCTCCACTTGAAGAAGGTGAATTAGCACAACAACACGGAGATGAATCATCAGATTTTCATTGTGATCGACCATGTCAAGGTTTTAAACAAGTCCGAAAATGTATTATACATAGACGTGAATATGATTTAATCTATTGTTCAACTTATAAAACACCCTATACATATGAAAAAGAACGTTGTAATGATGATTGCGTTTTAAGGTAAAGTTTTTATTGAATTAAAATTTAGATAATAAAAAGAAAAATTATCGAATATTTAAGTTGGACTACACGATATCAACAAGCATGTTCAACTCGATGTAGTGATGGATATAAACGTGTAATTTACGAGTGTACAAAAACGAGTTATACAGAACGAACTATGGAACCTATGGATGAAGATATTTGTCGAAAACATGTTGGAGAAAAACCGAAAGATGTTGTTTCATGTGTTGGTGATTGTACGGGTACTGGTTGGGTTTACGGGCAATGGGGTGAAGTACGTAAATTTTTTCGCATAAATTTTCGGTTCTTCTTAACAAGCTATTATTCATTTTCATAGTGTCATTATGATGGTGGTTGTTTACGTAAGCGTACAGCTGAATGCTACAATGCATCAAATTTACCAACATCATCTCATTATTGTGTATCCGATTTTATTTTCAATACTGAACGATGTGTCGAATCAGCTTGTGATCAATCTCGATGGAATTTTACTTCATGGACGGATGTATGTCTTCAAAATTTTATTATTAACCATATCATAATTTTGTTTCTCGACTTATTTAGTGTGATTGTAGTTTACAACTACGTCAAAGAAGTGTAACATGTGTTCGTCTTGGTCAAACAGTACATGATCGAGAATGTATTCATGAACCGAAACCCGAAACAACAGTTGCATGCTATGATGAATGTCGTACACCACATTGGCAAACACAGCCATGGGAACCTGTAAATATTGAATTAATTATTTTAATGAATTTCATTCTTTTTTGTTTTCAAACGTTTTTTTATTTCTAATAGTGTACGGCAACATGTTCATTACATAAAGGCATTCATCGCCGTCGTATTATTTGTTCGCATCATGGTTCAATAGTACCTGATGATTATTGTGATCGGCGATCAAAACCAATTGAACAAGAATGGTGTACAACAAATGTTAGTTGTACAACATGGTCTTTGAGTGAATGGTCACCTGTATGTATTTCAAATAGTAAATTTAATTGTTCAATTTTTTTTATTCTTTTATTTTCAGTGTTCTGTTACATGTGGAACAGGTATTCAACGACGTACTGTACAATGCCATCAAGATGCTCGACCTATGGATAAATCAAAATGTCCACAACCCATGCCCGTCGAGCAGCAAGCATGTACTTCATTAAGTAGTGTTCTTTGTTCCACAATACGTTGGTCAGCAGGACCATGGGCTGATGTAAATGAATAATTTCAACGAAAACATAAAAAAAACCAAATTTGTTTCATTTTATTTTATTAGTGTTCAGCAACATGTGGGATCGGTATTCAGCAGCGTAGTGTTTATTGTGATGATCCATCACGTCCTTGGGTTCGAATACCCGATAGTGATTGTTTAACATTACTAGGTGAAAACGTAAGACCAAGTCAACAACAGAATTGTTCTATTACCGATTGTCCTGAATGGCAAATAAGCCCATGGAATAAATGTTCCGGAAAATGTGATGCAGCCGAGCGCCATCGACGTATATGGTGCTCACATAATGGACGTGAACTTGACGATAATTATTGTTTACAACTTGATAATGAAAAACCATCAACCACAGAAATGTGTACCAGAGACGTCTATTGTCCTGATTGGGCAATTGGAATGTGGTCGGAGGTAAATTAAAATTTCTATGAACGTATTTTATGAATGCATGTCGTTGTTTTTTCATTGTTTATATTAGTGTTCGGGTCCGATGTGTGCATCCGGTATGCAATATCGACAAGTTGTTTGTCGACAAGGACATGAAACATTATTAAATATACATTGCGATGAAACAAGACGTCCATTGGAATTACAAGCATGTCATACGTGGAATAGTACGATTTGTCAAAATATACGACCACTAAATTCTATAGAAAGTTCATCATCATTTATTTGGGATGTGAAACAATTTGGAGCAGTAAATAAAAAGATTAAAGAAATTGTCGAAGGAAATTAAGTTTTTGATTTCAATTTTTTTAGTGTAGCGTAACATGTGGAATTGGACGTCGTTTACGACAAGTTCATTGTACGAATGCTCTAACAAAAATGCCTTATGATGACAAACATTGCGCACATTTACCAAGAAAACCTATTGAATATGAAACTTGTGATTTAGAAGTTTGTCCCTTGTGGAGTACAGAACCGTGGTCATCGGTAAAATTCATTAGTATTTTAAAAATTTTTTTATTTTATTTTTTATTTTGACTATGATAGTGTTCGGTAACATGTGGTTCTGGTGTTCAGAAACGTTTAGTGATGTGTAAAAATCGAGAAGAAATGGTTTCACCAGAAAAATGTAATGGTCTTAACAGGCCGGCAACCACTATTCAGTGCCATATGCTAACTTGTCCATTGGGTTCTATTAAAAATAATGATTTTTTGCAATCATCCACAATATGGATACCAAGTGAATGGGCACAGGTTTGTTATTTAAAAATAGAAATATATATATAATTTCAGTTTCAATGAGCTAATTAATGTTTTTCTTATCTATTTTAGTGTGATCTTAATACGTGTATACAAACACGAACTACTCGGTGTATTGATTCAATGACTGGTCAACTGTCACCAACATGGGAATGTACAAAAAATCAACCTCAACCATTATTAAATCGAGTATGTCCAACATCAGCCTGTGTAGAATGGCGCGTAGCTCATTGGAATGGCGTAAGTTTACAATAGAAATCAATGTTAATATACGCATATATATACTTTTCATTCGTTGGATTTAGTGTTCGGTTAAATGTGGTCGTGGTATTGAAATTGGTTTTGGTCTTGATTGCTTTACTCGTCAGATTCCGATACGTAAATTAAATGCAAGTGAATGTGAATTAGCTGAACCTCATTTGCCTAAACCTGTTGCAAGACGAGTATGCCGTCGACGTTGTATAGAATGGCGAACAAGCAGTTGGTCAGAGGTAAATACATAGAAAGCCAGTAGTCAAGCTTTGGGTTTTCTGCTAGAATAGACAGCATGCGCTTTCATTTATTGGGCTCTTTTAATGAATAATCTCTCGTAGATATATTAAAGCTTGGGTGTTTGAATGAAAAAATAATTCTAAATGAATTATTCTTTTTTTTTAAATTGACGTGCATGTGCACGAATACAGACACACAGACACACGTTCAAATATATAACTCAAAATATACATGTATCAATATATATGTATCTTTCTTCATCATTTACTTGGATTTGATGTTCTTTTTCTCTCTCTTTCTCTTTCTTTCTTTCTCTCTCTCTCTTTCTCTCTATCTCTCTCTCTCTCTCTCATACCACTATCGTATTAAAGCAGATTTCGACGAGAAGAACACAAATTACAAATGTGCTTTTCATCCTAATCTGTATGTTGTCAATATTTATAACACGCATATGTACATATATACCCGACTGTCACAATATTAAAAAAACAACAACAATAGTTTCTGTTTTTCCACCATCCCTATGGTTTTTGTATATATATATCTAACAGTGCGACGCCAAATGCGGTTCAGGCAAAAGAACTCGACAGATAACATGTCACCGAAAATTAACTGGGAAACAAATACCTAATCGTTTTTGTATGAATAATCGACGAAATTTAGTAAGACCAATAACAGATGAAATATGTACAAATGGTCCTTGTTATGAATGGATTCAAACACGGCAATGGACTCCAGTATGTCTTTTCTTTTGTTAAAGAAAAAGAGAAAACAAAATTTTCACGCGGCTCATGTTTTTCTTCTAATAGTGTTCGGCATTGTGTAATGGGGGCTACGAAGAAAACATTCCTCAATGCGTTTCAATTGTAAATGATACTCAACAAATAGTGAATGATCAATTGTGTAATGATACCATTCGACCACAAACACGACGTATTTGCAATAGTGAACCATGTTTACCAAGTTCGTTCAATATAAAACGACGTCGTGGTCGTCGATGGGATGTTGGTCCATGGTCATCGGTAACTATTTTTAATTTAAGATTCTAATTTTCTGATCCTATTTTTTGTTTGTTTTAGTGTAACGTATCATGTGGTGTTGGTGAACAATACCGTAGAATTCGATGCTTGGGTATCACTGATGATCGAATACTAAATAATCGTTATTGTCGACATATACCTCAACCAAATCGTGTACAACAATGTTTTCAAGTTGCATGTTCACCTATGTGGGCAACAAGTGCATGGTCATCGGTAAATTAAAAGAAAATAAGAAAATTTCTTATCGAGGAATCTACTGTTTTATTTTAGTGTTCATCGATTTGTGGTGCGGGTATTGAATATCGAAGTGTATCGTGTCATGAAGTAAATAATAATGGATATTTGATGTTAAATAAACATTCAAATAAATGTGATCCATATCGAGCACCAACGACTCGAATATCGTGTAATATGGGCGATTGCGAAAGTCCATATTTATGGCATGTGGAACCATGGTTACAAGTAATTGATTTTTTATTTTCAATAGTGTTCTTAGTTATATATTAATTAAAATTCTTTTCTAGTGTTCATCGGAATGTAGTCGAGGTGAACAAACTCGTAATGTTTATTGTAAAAATAAACAAACATCTGCACCGGTAAATGATCGTTTTTGTATTCCACATAAGCCTGTTACACGTATCGATTGTTATGGATTCTGTAAGTTATTATAAAAATTGTTTTGCTTTTATCTTCTACATAATTATTCCTATTGATATATTTAGTATTTGATATTAGTCAAAGTACAAAGAGGTAACATTTAATCTGTATTTATTTGTTTACCAGCATATATATATATATATATCTATTATTCTTGCTGTATTTAACGTACATACAACCTAGTTTAAATATATCATTATTGTATTTCTATGTTGTATTGTACAAAATTGTCGTTATGAATAATTATTTCGAAATTTCCACATACCCCTTATAACACTTATATACATATATATTTCTATATATCCAGGAACGTGTCGTGTGTGTCTGTTTTCATATTTATATATATATATATATATATATATCTACATAAATATAATATAATTACATATGATTATCATAGATATTTAGATTATATACTGTTTGAATTAATAATGCTACATAATTTGCTTTTCTTTTTCTCACACTATTTAAATATGACTTAATTTTATTTAATAATATTCTATTTATTTAATTTTATCCAGGCTTTGCTAAGCAGTATATCATCAAAAAATTCTTGTCCATTATTATTTTTGCTCACAATCAGTTTTGTCCAAATTTTGTACAGGTAAAAATAAAAGAAATTATTTTAAGAAAATTTTGATTTAAATATTTATTAGATTTTTCGATGATGATTTGAAATAAAACAAAAAACATTCTGGATCAAATGGTCTGAATGACAATATGTACGTTATTATAGTTAAGATTAATAATTCAATATTGTTTTTATTTTTTCACACTAGATCGTTTTTTCTTCTTAGCCTATTTTTGTTTCTATTCATATTCGTATCAATTTTATCTTCATTCATAATTCTCGTTAAATCCAGATCTATTTTCTAAACATTGTTGTCGTATGTGTGCTTTGTTCATCGTTTCCAAGTCAGATTTTGTTCTACAATCATGGGTAAATAAATATTATTACCTTTTACCTTTAAAATTTTGTTATTCTTCTTAAATAGGTGATGATGGTTAGCACACTTCTTCTTTTTTATTGTTAAAAATAATAATTACTATTATTTCTTGTCAATGAAATATACAAGCGAAACAATACGAATCTATGGGTGCTATGCATATTCAAGAAGCGACTAATGCCGTAATACGGACAATGCTTCCACTTTTTCTTCTATTTAATTTAGTTTATAGAATATTTTATTTACTGTTGTTTTATTACGATCGAGTTCTTTTCTGCTTCTTAATTTCTTTCATCTCATTTATATAAAAATAGAAAGTAGAAGTGTTTTCTTTTTTCCATTTTATATGCTATGCACGCAAATTGTATTTGTTGCTACTTTTTGTTATGAAGATCTCTCTGTTAATCCTCATGCGGCGTGCTGTTCACTTGTGCAATAGAGCTGTCTCTCTTTCTCTTTCTTTTGCTCTCCTTTTCTTTTCTTTTCTTTTCTTTTCTTTTCATTATTTCAGTTCTTTTTTTCTTGTTCGTTTGAGGGTGTGCGTGCGTGTGTGCGTGTGTGTGTGTGTGTGTGCGTGTATTTTACTACTTTAGCATTAGAAATATCTCTCAGTGCTATTGTTTGGTTTTGCTCAGCTGAATTCATTTTGATTTTGCATTGAAAATGTTCTTTCTCTCTTTTTTAAAAATTAGTATTGTTTTTGTTTTCAATGTCTTAAATAACTGACTGTGCTTTTTAAAAGTGTCTTTCTATTGTCGTCATCATACATATACATATACACACAGATTGAGTTATATCTTACTCATATTTTACACATATGTATGGTTAACAACAAAAAAATTACACACAACTAAATAAATTATAACCTGGGTAGACTACATATATTATATTATAAAAAGAAAAAAAAAGTATTTTAATTTTATTTAACAATCATTCAGTTAGATTTTTTGATGCGTAACTGAATTGTCTTTTTAAGTCATTCGTTGATATTGGTGACGATGGAGTTCTTGGTAGAATTGCAGCATGTTGAGTTATTTGATTGAATAGAAGACGAAATTCATCTTGAGATAATTTTCCATCGCCGTTTAGGTCGGCTGCTTTAAGCATTTCTTTTGCTTGTTTATCGGTTAATGGTTCACCAAGATCTTTCATGGTCTTTTTAATTTCTTTTGCTGTAATAAATCCATCAGAGTTTTTGTCAAATGCACGAAATGTTTCTTGAAAATAAGCATCTTGTGCAAATTGACCATACTCTTGCATTACATGACAAAATTCTTCAAAAGCTATACTAGAACGATTTTGAAATAGTTCTGTCATTTTTGATTCATTAATTGGCATATGTAATTTTTCACATGCTGATCGAAGCTAACGAATTAAATAGAAAAATATTTTATGGTTTAATATATATTAAAATAAACATACTTCACTCGAACTAATGCTGCCATCTTTGTTTTTATCGAATAATTGAAATGTATTAAGTAATTGCGTAATATTAATCGTTTGCTCGGACATTGTGAATTTTCTAATTGGAAAATAATAATAATAAATTATTTTTTCTATTGATGTATCTATTACTTCTCCACGAATGCTGATTTCTTTTGTGTAATGTATCTATCTAAAGTGTGAATAACTAATAAAGACGTATCTATATATGTAATGACAATAACGTTAGCGTTGTACTTTTTCTATGTTTTTTCTTTTTTTCTTTCTGTTTTTATTTTGACCTTACCTAGTTGTGTCCGTGAATTACAAATAAATAAATTCTATTCTGATTCAAGTTCGAGAAAATAAATATCATGAACGACGACTGTTGACAAAAACAAAAAGAAAGAAATAGAACGATTTTTCTGACTTATATTAGTCTACATGCATTGGTTACTTTAACGCATATCGATATATGCCTGCTACCAGTTGAATGGAAAAAAAAAATAATAAAATGAATACGTGCCCTTCTAAATTTATCTACGTTGTTTTAGTTGATATTAAAAAGATTCTTTTTTTTTTTCGTTTTTGTTTTTTATTATTATGATGACGTAAATGCTATTACAAGCGCGATGGACGTCAGCAATCTGATGATAAGAAGTTTAATATGATAACAAAAATATGTCAGCCAATCTAATTAGTAGAAGAATATTGTGCTAAACAAGCGTCGCTATTGAAGAATTTTAATCGATGCTCGTAAGTAGTATCGGCATAAGACATAATGGAAACACATTTGTTTATTTGTTTGAGGATTATTAAAGCAATCAACTACGATTGACAATTGGTAACACTGAATATTTTCTTTATCTCTGAGTATCTTGTATATTTATGGAGAAAAACAACATATATACCTGGATAGACGAAACAAAGAAAAATAAAATAAAGAAGGAAAAAAATACTATTCTCATAATGAAAAGAAATAATTACAGTTGAGAGCAATCGCCAAATCAACCAACAACATTGCACATAAAGTCGAAGTCTACTTTTCCTTGTTAATTACGTTCTTTAGATTTAACAGAAATATGACTCAAAACTATATAGTAAACAAGTGCAAAATCAGATCTCAAATGATTCCTATTTATAATGAATAACTTTGGATGTTTCCATGGGAAATATGCCACTTTATACAATAGTATTTTCTATCAACGTGAAAAGTTCAGCATTAGTAGAGCTCGATTAGCTGATCATTTTGATCTATTTGGATTGTAAAACATATGTTGC